CTGCCAAATGTATTTTGCCAAATAGTTGTGCCATTCCTTAAAACAATTTAAGCCATTAAGAACCGGAATTGATTGAAAAAGGAACAGCATTTTTGGTAAAACTACCATGTTGATTGTAGAAATTCTTCCCCACAACGTGAGTTTTCATTTACTCCAGATTTCTAAGTCTTTCCTAATTTTGGTCCATACCTTAATATAACTGTCTTTCTATAAATTAATGTTTTTCATGGTTATCCAAATTCCTAAATGCTTTGCTCTGTTAGTAATTTTAAGTCCTGTTTCTATTTCTAACTTTACTTTTTCTTGTATATCTAATTTTTTTACCAGGAGTTTTGTTTTTTCTTTATTAATTTTGAATCGTGGTAATTGTCCAAACGCCTTTCTTTTTCCTTTCCATTCCTTTTATTATAATCATTTTTATTGATTTTCTTTCTTACAACAAATATCCATCACCATCACTATATATTCCTATATCTCATCACAGTCTTTCAATTTTAAATTTCCTTCTTGTTCTATTAGTAATTCTCTGTATGTTGGCCGTATTCCTTTCATTGTTGACATGTTAAGTGATAGTGCTTCAATGGGTGATAGCCACCATGGAGTTTGGGGTTCCAATAATTCTTTGTATTTTCCCCATACCTTTATTAAAAACCTATTATAGTATTGTCGAGTCCTTTGTGTACTTTTGTTTTCCCATACCACAAATATGCATGCCAACCAAATCTGCTGTCATGTCCTTCCAGTTCTATTGCCTCTTCTTTCTCCAATTTAATCCAATCCCGAATCCGAGTAAGACAAGCTGCTTCATAGTAAAGTTTGAGATCTGGAAGGTAAAAGCCTCCCCTTTCTTTTAAGTCTGAGTTTTGTATTTTATTCTTGGCCTTGTTTTTTCCAATATTACTACAATACTCTAGAGCAGCCTTTTTCAACCTGTGGGCCCCCAAATGTTGCTGAACTACAACTCCCATCACCCCTAGCTAGCAAGGCCAGAGCTCAGGGATGATGGGAGTTGTAGTCCAACAACATCTGGGGACCCACAGGTTGAGAACCGCTGCTCTAGAGGGTTTTCTGTTCTAAATATTAGATTGTCTGTGAAGGCTCTGACCTTATGGGCCCTTTGTCCAACTTTAATTCCTTCTATTCTAGGGTCTTCTCTTACTGCTTTCAAATACACTTCCGGAAGTGTGATAAAGAGGAGAGGAGAAAGATGGCAGCCCTGTCTTGTTCCCTTAGAGATATTAAAAGCTTCTGATGTTTCACCATGTATAATTAGTCTGACCTTTTGGGAATTATAAATTGCTTTTATACCACTACATATTTTCTCACCCAAACTCATCATTTCCAAAGTTTTTTGCATGAATGCCCCTGAAGCATTATCCAATGCTTTCTCCGCATCCACCAAGATCAGGGCTGCCTTTTTATCTGGTCTCATTTCTAGGTATTCTATTGTATCTACTACCAATCTTACGTTGCTGTAAATTTGTCCTCTGCGTAGGAAGCCTGACTGATCTTTCTTTATTAATCTTGCCAAGATCTTTTTCAATTTATTGACTAATTTTTTTGCAAATAATTTATAATCTGAATTTAGAAATGAGATTGGTCTATAATTTTTAATTTACTCTAAATTGGATCCATATTTCAGTATCAATGTAACTAGGGCCTCTTGCCATGATTCTGGCACTTGTCCTCCTTCTAAAATTTTGTTCATTATTTCTTCTAACACCGGTAATATGGTCTCTTCCAATTTTTTGTAATTCATTATAGAAATACCATCTGGACCAGGGACTTTACCATTCTTAGAAGTCACAATTCCTTCTTTTATTTCATTTATAGGGGCATTTAAGTATTTCTATTCTTTCTCTTATTTTTGCCAGTCTATTGTTTATTTTTTAAAAATCCTATTTTTTCGTCAAGTTCTTCCAGCTCACTTCCATTTCTGTTGTTGTTTTGCATCAGATTTAGTTAATGTGAAAGCACAAAAGAACCACAAAGAATCTTGAGGCAGGTTACACATTTATTCCAGTTCAGTCTTTGGTTATTGACATTTCTATCCCACAACCCTATCCACCTAGCAGACTGCCTCTGTCCCCTGCCCCTACAAGCCCATCAGTAAAAACTTCTGCAGAGACACTGGGGATTGTTCCATGACACTTGTCACTTGTTGACAATGCAGAAGGAGGCCACCTTGGTGCACCCAGAAGATACCAGATGTTGGTTGTAGTTACGTCTATACAAAGTGCATAGCCTTTGACCCTCCATAGAGAAATGGGGAGGAATGAGGAGCCTGAATAGCTGACTAGAAGGAAAGGTACCCTGGTAAGCTTCTGTCGAGTCTTGAGGGGGCTTTGTATCATTCAACTTCAAAATGTGGGAAATGTTTGTGGGGCCTCCTCCTCCCCCTGTTGCTGCTATTGAGTGGGGCCCTGGATATCTGCCCCAAACGTTTGCCTTGATGGTAGCAGGATGGGAGAAGTCAAGTGCCCAGAATCAAAAAGGAAAAGTATTTTCTGCATCTTTCTTGATTGAAATGGGTATGTCTGAAACCTCAGATGAAGTTCACGTTGACAGTATCAAAACTGTTATTCATAACCCAGTTAATGTATTACTGCTGATATAAAGAGTCTATCCTTCAGAGAAATACAATATAATGTCCAAAACCAACACTTTAACCAGATAAACTTGCCTTCTGGGAGGTGGGGCAAGATGCTGAGGGAATCTATTCTATCTGGGGGGGGCACAGTGCCCCCAGAAGATTCCAGTTGTGGGTTGTAGTTGCATCTATACAAAGTGCACAGCCTTTGCCCCTCCATAAAGAAAGAAATGGGGGGGGAGACAAGAGCTGGAATAGCTGACCAGAAGGAAAGGTAACCTGGGAACTTCATGTTGATCGACCACCCCAGCTCCCTGACCCCAAGAAAAGACCAGTCCAGGGAAGCAGGTGAGCATTACAGCTACACCCCACATTATGCTCTCCAGCAGCTATTCCTTCAGACAGGCCTATTTTCATTCAGTCTCCAGTGTGTCCATGGGTGGGTGTGTTTTAGGTTTCCTTTCCCCCCTTCCTTGCAATCCTGACAAAAATCAAACCTCCACGCCAATGCTTTCAGCCCCAGAAGAGGAGCTCCCCTTGGTGTCAAGGGAGGGGGGGTTCAAGGGAGCATATGGAGCCCTGCCATTCCTTCTGGCGCTGGTCCCTTCCCTTCCTCTCTCTGCCATCCCAGGGCCACTCTTGACTCCCCAGCAGGAGACTGGATCTGTCTGTGATGTGAGATGTCCTGGCTGGTTGAAGGACCACTTCCTGTTTCCTGGAGCTCCATTCTTCTTTCTCATGCAAGGTGGAGTCATGGAGCAGGTGAAGGCTGAGCACACCTAAGGGTTAACCTTTCCCCGTCTGCTCCTTTTCTGGATCAAAATCCCCAGCTAATCTGTCTAGCTCCTGCTGCTGCTGCTGCCTGTCACTGTTCCTGTGTCTCTGGAGTGTTTCTTTGAGGAGAATACAGGACGCTGCAAAAGACATTGTGTGTATTGAGAGTGCAATAAGGTAGACAGAGGCTGAGCCCTCCCTGTAATGCAAACAGGGAGACTTCTGTCCAGGAGATTTCTGTATAAAAAATTCTTTGCTGAGGTGGAAGTGGGGACTAAGTGTTATGTATTGACGTTCTCACCCTGGCCAGCAGGGGGATTGTGTCTATAGTTTTCACTCAGGTCCATATCAGTTAATTTCGGCGGGAGACCCTGGCTTCTTGTTGTTGTTGTTGTTACAATGTTGGCAGCTGGCTGCCTATAAAAGCAGTCCGGCTGAGCTGTTTGAGTCCAGTTCAGTTCCAGCTTAGTATAAACAACCACTTGGAGAAATCTCTGTGTCGTCTGCCATATCCACCCACAATTTAATACTAAGTGAGGTTGGAGTGGAATCATGTTTACATGAACATGAGAAGGCAAAATATGCTCTCCATTTAAATATTTATTAAAATAATTTATTCTGTTACCCAGAAGAGTTATTTTTTGCCGTAAACTACTTCATACATTGTAAGAAGTGGGTCCTGAGACCCTTGATCCCCTTCCTTAAAACACCATCTGAACAAAATTGGTGAAGCAGTAAAGAGCTTATTGAGGACTAAAGTTAAAAGGACCCCTAACCATTAGGTCCAGTTGCGGACGACTCTGGGGTTGCGGCGCTCATCTCACTTTACTGGCCGAGGGAGCCGGCGTACAGCTTCCGGGTCATGTGGCCAGCATGACTTAAGCTGCTTCTGGTGAACCAGCGCAGTGCACGGAAACACCATTTACCTTCCCGCTGGAGCAGTATGTAATAAAAAAAATTAAGGTCTTATATATATAATAAATGTTCATAAATGTACCAACCAAGCACATACATTAAAAAAAGCAACAATATTCAAATTTCTGTTGTAGACCGCCTATTCTGTGATGTAGGTATGATGTATGGAGGGGTGGTCTTGAGGGCAGGGAATTTAAAAGGGCTATATAAGGGCAGGCAAACCTTTGTTCGGGGTCCTCCTCCGTTCTCCTGCGTGTGAGGGGAGCACCCTGTTGCAACAGTTCAATAAAGATCAGGCTTACTAGCTGCTTTGCTTCTCAATATTCTCTGGTTGGCCTCTGTTATTTTCTCCTACTGATGGAGAACCTGCAAAGGACTCTACAAGGGCTCTTGTGTCTTGCACTTTGTGCTTTCGAATTGCTAGGTTGGCAGGAGCAGAGACAGAGCAACGGGAGTTCACTCCTTCGCGGGGATTCAAACTGCCAACCTTCTGATCGGCAAGCCCTAGGCTCTGGGGTTTAACCCACAGCGCCACCCGCCTCCCTTATTGAGGACAATACGTTCTTGCAAAAGCGGGGGTCCAAATTCCCCATGCACATGTTCCCACCCTCGCCTTCCCATTGGTTGGGTGCTATAAGGTTTTCCTTCCCCCAATTATCAAATAACAGACAAGAGGCTGAACGTGGAGAGAAATTTCTCCTTCCTCCTCTGAGTTGCCTCCACTTCCGGCTTCACCAGCAGAGATAAAAGCGGAGCTGGCAAAGGAGGGAGGGGAGGAGGCGGGAAGGGGGGCTGCATCGTGCGGAGGCGGAGGAGGGGGCTGCTTCCTAATTAAGGCTCCTAATTAAGCGCCCTTACGCCCTGCCTCCCACGCGGGGGCTCCCATTCCCGCCCCCGCTGCCCAGGATTTCGGGTGAGTGCAAAGCCAGTGGCGGGGAAGGAGGGAAGGGGCTTTGCGAGGGGGTCCAGGAGGAGAAGCCCCCGGATGGGGAGAGGCGGCCCTGCACAAGATCCGGGCGGGGAGAAGAGAAGGGAGGAAAGGGAGCTGTTTTCTTAAAGGGGGCTTGAAGAGGGGGGGGGGAGAAGCTTCCTCCTGCAGGGATCTGGTACAAAGGGAGTTGCAGGGAAGGAGAGGGGAGAGGGGTGGGCATTGCTGGCCAGGATCGCCTTAATAGTATTAATTTAAATTTAATATCTATACTCCAGCAGAAGACCCCTCGGAGGAGGACCTTATCTTTAGGCAACAGGCGAAAGCCTTGCTCTTCTCCCAGGCGTTTGGCTCATTAAACAATCTATGGACTTCACAACTGAATTGGGGGGGGTGTTGTTTTTATTTTTTACTCTGCTATGCATCTCTGTGTTTTTCTCTTGTAAGCTGCCCTGTGATATTTGGAGGAAGGGCAGTATAGAAATGTGAAGAATAGCTGTAAAAATAGGAAGCCCTCTTGCGTTCAAGGGGGGGGGGTTGGGACAAAGTCTCTGATCAGCATGCATAACAGGAAGGGCTTAGGAGGGAATAATACTAATAAGAATAAGAGTAAAATAAAAATAAATAATTCATTGCTTGCCCCCTGCCCACCTGATTGTGTTGCCTCAGCCACTGGGCGATTTCCATCAAAAACACCAAAAAATTTAAAGCATTGAAAACTTTCCTGTACAGGGCTGCCATCATAAGACTACTGTTTTGTAGAAATGGCCCTCAAATATAAAGAAATGCCATCTTTAAGGAGTCCTGTGGTGTAAACGTGTATCTTGTCCTCTAGGTCCAAAGTAAGAGCAAGCAGTGCTCCAAAGTGCTTCTCTTGTGAACTTGCCATCTAAGTTGTTGACTCTTGACCAAAGCTCCTGTTTCCCAAAAGGACTGGAGGGGGGGTCTCCTCACCACTTTTAACCCCCCCCCCACTCCCACCGCATGGAAGGCAGAGGACGTGTTTACTCACAATCCCAGTAAACCATGAAGTGAACCAGGCGCTGCAGCTCCTTCCCCTCTCACTGGGCTGCTGCAAGAAAAGGCAGCAGAGGAGGAAAGGGATGGGTTTGAAGGCTCTTCCTGCCTCTCTCCCCTGAGGAACAAGAGCAAAGGGTGTTTGCAGGGCAGGAGGGCAGAGGAGGAGGCAGCGAGGGCGGAGGGAGCAGTGGGTGGATCCCCCGCCTCTCCCAGGGGGTCCTGATGCAAGCAAGGGGCTTCCTTCTTCTCCATGCAAGGGCCACCCATGTATTCAGAGCAGTCCTTTGCAGATGAACTCTTAAATTCCATGGGGTCTACTCTCAGGCCACTAATGTGCATACCATGCCAGCCTTAGGAAGGGAGGTGGGACAGGCAGGTGAACGGAATTGCCAAAGGTGTTTGAAAATGGGCGGGGGCTCTTGGGAAGGGGTCTTTTTGTATGCAACAACTGCAGTGAGGATGTTGATTGCCAAGGGATAGAAAGGAGATAAAATTCCATCAGAAGAGGAGTGGCAAGAAAAAATCCTTCAATATATAGAAGTAGCACAGATGACGGAAAAGATAAGAAATCGATCGACCCAAAAGTTTAAAAGGGAATGAGAAAGCTATAGATAATATTTAAAAGAACAGTGTCCCCTTATAAAAACTTTAAAATGCTTTGAATAACTCTCACAATTGAATAAGGTACAAAGAATTCAGAGAAGATTTAACAAGGATAAAGTTTATTGAAAAACAGAGGCAAGTAATTCAGAAAATTGCCAACCTAGCAGTTCGAAAGCACATCAAAAGTAGATAAATAGGTACCGCTCTGGCAGGAGGGTAAATGGCGTTTCCGTGCGCTGCTCTAGTTCGCCAGAAGCAGCTTAGTCATGCTGGTCACATGACCCGGAAGCTTAGTGCGGACAAATGCCGGCTCCCTCGGCCAGTAAAGCGAGATGAGCATTGCAACCCCAGAATCATGTGTGACTGGACATAATGGTCAAGGGTACCTTTACCTTATTAAGAAAATAAATAACCTATATCAAGGAAGTCGGAAGTTGATGGCTGGAATAATTTTGTGTATTGTTCTATTTCTTTTTGTAAGAAATGTATTGTGCTTTTTTGTTTTGCTTCTTTTCCTATTTATAAGCTTTTGGTGTGTGTGTGTTGATTTTAAACCAATAAAGATTGAATAAACAAAATATAATAAATAAAAAAGGAAAGGAGGTGATGAAAGGAATTGCCAAAGGTGTTTGAAAATGGGTGGGGGCTCTTGGGAAGGGGGTGCCCAGTTGGGGCTTCTTCAGGGGCAGCAGAATGTCTTGGGCAGGAGAATCCCTCCAGGGGCTCTCAGACTCCCTTGGCTTCTTCTTCTTCCCTCCCTCCCAGGAAGCTGCAACTGGCTCTGGCTTCTGCGCTCCTCAGGAAGCTGAACCTGCAAACCTAGCTGAGACTGAACCTGCAACCCTGGCCAGGATGGAAGGAGGAAGATGGACGGTTGACCTGGTCAGGCTGTCTCCCGCATCCCTCCCCACAACCTCTGAGCATTCCCTCCCAGGACCCTTGGAGAAATCTGGTGAGTTCCAGGGGAGAGGAGATGGGGACAGGGATAGATGGAAGGTGGAGGGAGAAAGAGGAAAAGATGGAGAGGAGACAAATGGAAGGAAGTTCCTGACAGGAAGAAGGAAGGGGTGAGGCCTTCTCCGAAGCAGCTCTTTGTATCTTGAATCCCTTTCATAAAGTAGTGGGGGCAGATTTTCTCCCTCCAGGATTTTAAATCTTAGGAGTTACAGTGGTACCTCGGTTCTCAAATTTAATCGGTTCTGGAAGTCTTCCAAAACCAAAGCGTTCCAAAACCAAGGTGTGCTGTCCCGTAGAAAGGAATGCAAAATGGATTAATCCATTCCAGACTTTTAAAAACAACCCCTAAAACAGCAATTTAACATGAATTTTACTATCAAACAAGACCATTGATCTGTAAAATGAAAGCAATAATCAATGTCCTGTACCATAAAATATTTAAGACAGTATTGTATATGATAAAAATTAAAATTATTATTTTTTCGTACCTGCATTGATGATAGTCAATGTTTGAATGGGGAGCTTATATCCCTTTCCACAGTCTATCAATCAATCATAAAACAAAAAACTAAGCCTCAGTCAAAAATGAAAAAGCCACACAAACAAGAATGCAAAAAATAGGAAAAAACTAAAGCTGCAAATGTCCCCTCAGAACACTGCAACCAGTAACAGCTTGAATATTGATTGGGGGGGGGCCTTAAATTAGCTGTCCAAGGGAACGAATGGGATGAAAAAAACCTTGATTACGATGGAGACGACTTAAATTAGCTGCTCAAGGCTAAAACGGAATGAAAAAAAGCCTTAATTAGGATGGGGGGCACTTAAATTTGCTGTGCAACAGTAAAAATGGAGCTCAGGAGCACGTTCGGTTTCCGCGGCAAACTTCAAAAACAGGAACACCTATTTCTGGGTTTGCAAATGATGAATCAACAGAAGCATAGTCAATCTATGGGCTTCCCCTTTTTTTGAAATATTTTTATTGGTTTTTACAAATACAAGTTTACATCAAAAACATTTGAAATAATGTTTTTATAGCATTTTAAATGACAGATCCCGAGGTTTTTGCAAACCAGAGGATCGCTTCTGCACACGCACACAGCGCAATAGAGTGCTTCTACGCGTGCGAGTGGCGAAACCCGGAAAAATACCAGAGGGTTACGTAACACGAGGTACCACTGTATAGATACATTCTCCACAGTTCTCATTTATCTAAAGTGTCCATAAACTTATTTACAAGTGATTCCTAAAGTCCAGCTAACGTTTTGATTTGCGTGCAGCAATCTCATAGGTAAATTATAAAATTTCCCCATTCTTTTTTAAAGTCCTTGTTTTCTTGATTCCTGAGTCTCATGGCTAATTTTGCCATTTCGGCAGAGTCCAGCAGTTTAGCTCACGATTCTTCCCTAGTTCGGATTATTGCATCTTCCCATCTTTGAGATAATAACATCTGTGCAGCTGTTGTCGCATACATAGTCTTTCCTGGTCTTTTGGGATTTCAGTACCTGTAATTCCAAATAAATAAACTTCTGGTTTCTTAACAAAATTTATTTTAAACATTTTTTTCCAATTCATTATATACCATTTCCCAAAATGATACTGTTATTTTACATAACCACCACATATAGGAAAAGGTACCCACTTCTTCTTTGAAGTGACCTGTTCATCCTTTGTATGCCATTCTAGGAGCAAGTTATACATTTTAGACAGATTTTTTTTATGTTACTTCCTAAGAGTTCTTTTTGAAATTGTGATCTCATAACTAAAACCTTTTTTATTTTTTTATTTTTTTAAAAAAATTATTGTTAAAATAGGTCATCATTAATCCACATATATTACAGATATACAAGCATACAAACATACATTTCATACAATCCTTAAAAGTGTTCAAACATACTTACACTCAATCCCACAAATAATTCCTTTTCCCATCACCATCCACCACCCCTCACCCCACCTTTGTGTTAGACTTCCAATCTACTCAATTGCAATTTCTTTCCACTTCTATTACTTTCTTTCACACACCTTTAGCCTAATTTCATAGAATCATAGAATAGAATCATACAGTTGGAATAGACCACAAGGGCCATCGAGTCCAACCCCCTGCCAAGCAGGAAACACCATCAGAGCACTCCTGACATATGGTTGTCAAGCCTCTGCTTAAAGACTTTAGCTTTGAGGTTCTAAATCTTGGATCTCTTCACAGGTATACACATCCCTGACATATAACGCCACTCCTCCTCCTTTCTTGTCTGGTCTGTTTCTCTGAAATAGATTGTATCCCTCCATTATTACATTCCAATCGTGGAACTTATCCCACCAGGTTTCAGTGATGCCTATTATGTCAATATTTAGCTTGCTGTACCAAGAGCTCAAGCTCATCTTGTTTATTTCCCATGCTTTGCGCATTAGTGTACAGACATTGAAGTCCATTAATCATTCCCCCGTGTCTCTTATTTAAGTATTTTTCCTCCCACCACTAGGTCTGCGTGCTGTTTGCTCCATTTGGTCTATGACATTTGGATGATCATCTTCATCAATTGATAGACTCCCACCTTCAGGAGCACTGTCTCCCTCCCCCACATTAGTCAGTTTAAAGCCCTCCTGATGAGGTTTCTGAGATTTTTGGCAAAAACATTCCTCCCAGCCGTTGTGAGGTGCAGCCCATCGCTTGCCAGAAGTCCATCTTCAAGAAACTGCAGTCCGTGATCTAAGAATCCAAACCGTTGCTGTTTACACCATTTGCGAAGCCAGCTGTTCACTTCCACTATTTTCCCTCTCTCCCTGGGCCACGTCGTTCAACTGGGAGGACAGATGAGATGACAATTTGTGCATTTAATTGCTTCAATTTCCTGCCCAGAGCCTCGTAGTCTCTTTTGATCTTCTGGAGGCTATTGCTTGCAGTGTCATTGGTTCCCACATGAACCAAGAGGAAGGGGTATTTGTCAGTGGGTTTTATGATTCCTTGCAGTCGTTCAGTTACATCTTGGATCTTAGCCCCGGGGAGACAGCACACCTCCCGAGACATCTTGTCAGGTCCACAGATCACTGCTTCTGTTCCCCTCAGTAGGGAATCCCCTATCACCACTACACGCCTCCTCTTAGGTTTGGTCGGGGTTCTTCCGTGAGCTGTCCATTCCAAGGTCGCCTGCACATTCCTTGAGGACTGACTTTGCTGCTCGTCTTCATATACCTGATCGACTGTAATGAGGAGAGATCCTCAAATGGAGTCTGTTCTTCGTCTTCCATGCTAGGGGAGAGGACTTCAAAGCGATTGTGTATTTCTAAACAATCAGAGCGAACCCTGGGCCTCCTACTTCTTTGAGTCACGTTTCTCCATATATCTGGCACCTGTGTTGGTGAACTAGCCTCCTTCTCAGGGGTGTCCCCTGTCTCCTCCTTGGTGGAGACGGTGTTCTCTGTTGCTTCCAAGAAGAGCTCCAGCTCTCTAATTCTTTGGAGCGTAGCTACACGTTCCTCCAGTTGCTGGACTTTGTCTTCTAAGAGGGCTATCAACATACAATTGCTGCAGGTAAAGCTGCCTGCAACCTTTGGCAAGATGGCAAACATTACGCAGGAACTTCTTTTTCTATTACACATTGTTATCCATCTTATTTAGTATTTCAGTGTTTGAAACTGAACTTGTTTATTCCAATAGGAGTTCTGATTTTTCGATATGGTTTTGCAAGTATCTTTTAAACACCTTCCAGTCCCTATCTACTCTTTTGAGATCCTTCCAATTTCTCCCATTGTTTTGGATATATTGTAGGACTCCAATAATTTGGCAAGCCACTCTATTTTTGTCAGTACAATACCACTTTTCCAGTTTTTCGCACTCAATAGCCTTGCGGCTACTGTTGCGTATAAATATAAGGTCTTGTCTTCTTCCTTTAGGCTTCCTGGTACTATTCCCAATAGAAAATCTTCTGGTGTTTTCCTAAATGAATATCTAAACATTTTTTTTTCATTTCAGTATATATTATTTCCCAAAATTGTTTGATGTTTAAATAATTCCACTATATATGTATCATAGTACCTTTTCCAGTGTTGCATCGCCAACAGACATCGCTACAATTTTTATTCGTTTTTGTTATAAAAATTGATTTTAATTAATTTTTATAATGAAATGTTTTTAGAATGTTTTTAGAATTTGACTGTTTGACTATTTGACTGTTGTTAGCCGCCCTGAGCCCGGCTTCGGCTGGGGAGGGCGGGATGTAAATAAAATTTATTATTATTATTATTATTATTATTATTATTATTATTTCAGGTGTTAAATACCATCTATGTTGTACTTTGAGGTAATTTTCTTTCAGTATATAACACATCGTGAATTTCATATCTTCTTTCCACAATTTTTCCCATTGTTCAAACATAATATTTTCCCCAATATCTTGCGCCCATTTAATCATTGATGCTTTAACCAATTCATCCTTTGTTTCCCACTCTAAGGTCAGATTATACAATTTAGATATATTTGATTTTTCTGGTATTAAATATTTATCAAATTTTGATATTTCTTTTTCAAATCCTAGCTTTTTGTCTTTCGCTAATCTATACTTAATTTGAATATATTGGAACCAATCACTAATATGAGCTTTAATTTCTGTATAATCCTTTAATTCCAATTCTCCGTTTTCTTCCTTTAATACAGTTTTATAGGTAACCCAATTTTATTTCATATTTAATTTTTTCACTGCGACAATTTCTGCCGGCGATGCCCACCAGGGAGTTTTCGGTTTTAGGAGTCTTTTATATTTCTCCCATATTTTATATACAGTGGTGCCCCGCAAGACGAAAATAATCCGTTCTGCGGGAGCCTTCGTCTTGCAGGGATTTTCGTCTTGCGGAGCTCCGCTATCAGCCGATCAGCTGATAAGCGGTAAAACAGCTGATAAGCGGCTTTTAGCGGCTTTTAGCGCTTAGGGGATTAGCGGATAAGCGGCAATTTAGAGATAAGGAGCTTAGCGCCTTTCAGAAAAGGCAAAAAAAAAAGGAGACCACGGAAAAAAATTCGTTTTGCGAGTAAGCCCCATAGAAAAAAACGTCTTGCGAAGCAGAAAAATGCCGGAAAGCCCTTTCGTCTTGCGCGTTTTTCGTTTAGCGGGGCATTCGTCTAGCGGGGTACCACTGTATAGACTTTCTGACTATATGCCCTAGGAAGCCTTTATGTACTTTGACTTTTTCATCTATTAGATAGGCATGCCATCCAAATCTCGTCTCTACTCTGTCTAAATCCAATACATCCGAGTCATCTAATTTGATCCATTCTTTTAGCCAGGTCAGACCCACCGCATCATGATATAACTCCATGTCTGGGAGACCAAATCCTCCTCTCTCCTTCTTATCTATCATTATTTTGTGTTTTATTCTTGGCTTTTCCCCTGACCATACGAATTTAGCCAAATCTCTTTTCCAGTCATTAAAACATTTATCTCCTCCTAGTATTGAGATACTTTGAAATAAAAACATCATCCTTGGTAATATGTTCATCTTTATTACCGATATTTTCCCTAGTAAGGAAAGATTTAATTTCCCCCATACTTGCAAGTCATTTTTTATTTCATTCCATGTTTTCCCATAGTTCTCATTACTTAAGTCTATAGTGTTTGTTGTTGAATTTACTCCAAGATACCTTATTTTCTTTTTAATTTCCAATCCTGTAATTTCTTGTACTTTATCTTTTTCTTCCATATATTTCAGTAGTATTTTGCTTTTCCCGTAGTTTAATTTGTATCCTGCTACTCTGCCATGTTCGTTTATGCATTCCAATATTCTAGGTGTACATTGTAGGGGATTTTCTGTTGTGATCATAACATCATCTGCAAAGGCTCTTAACTTGTATCTTTTTTCACCAACTGCTATTCCTCTTATTTGGTTGTCCTGCCTTATTTTCTTTAATAGAACCTCTAATACTATTGTAAATAGCATTGGGGATAGGGGGGCATCCTTGTCTTGTACCTTTAGATGTTGATGTCTTCTCCAAACTCTCCATTAATAATAATTTTTGCTTTCTGTTGGTCACATATTGCATTTATACCTTTTTGGAATTTTTCACCTAGACACAATTCTTTTAATAGTTTTTTCATGTCTATCTTAAAGATATTGTTTAGTTGATGGTACTGTAACCAGTCAGTTACAGCTTCTCTTATCTCTTCAAAATCTTTTTATTTCAGTTGGTTTTCAACTTCAGTTAAGAGTTCTCTATAAGTCGGCCAATTACTTCTCATATTCAATTTTTTTCAGAGATATTGCTTCCAAGGGGGAAAGCCACCAGTGTGTTTTTTACTCAAACAAATTTTTATACTTCTCCCATACCCTAAAAATTGATTTTCTTACTGTATGATTCTGAGAAGCTCTATGCACCTAGGTCTTTTCCTACCATAAATATCCATGCTATCCATAACTCATGTCCTTCCAGGTCTAAAATACAGTATCTGTGTTTTCCAATGTAATCCATTCCTGGTTCTAGCAGATACAGGATGCTTAATTGTCAGAGGCTTAGTGCTGTCCAGCTGGCCATAGATAAGACTCCGGGCTCCCAGCCAGTTCCAAACAATTGATTTACTTGACAAAGTTCAAACGTACATCTCCAGCGTTTCCATTAACCTCCTTCCTCTTGTGCGCAGTTGCTCCCACTAAAGTTATTTCCTTCCTTTTTTTACCCAGCATGCAAACCTGCGAAGACTCCTCCCCTTACTTCCTCTGTGTACAGCATGACTTGTCCCAGGCTCACACTCCTCCTCCCCCTCTTCTTCAGACTGACTCTCTGACGACTGGCTGCTGATAATCTCTCTAGGCTCCCTATAACTGCTGATTTCTGTCCTTTCCTCTTTTCCCGTTTGCCTCTCCCTGACATCCACCCCCTCCTCAAAGGCCCCCTCCCGCTCAGGAGACCCGACTACGTCCCCTTCTCTTTCCTCAGAGGTGGTCGGGGAGAACCCCTCAAAACTACCCTCTTCCTCATCTGTCTCTTCGAACACACTCATCCAACCCCCAAGTCCGGGTGTTCCCCAGTCTACGCCTTCGTCTTCTTCTTCCTCCTCATCTGACGCTGGGAAACCTTCGAATTCCTCTTCGTCGTCTGTTGTTTCGAACACCTCTTGTAAGGACCTCACCTTGCCTTTTGGTTTGTCCGGAAAGAAATTGTGGAACTCCTCTACCAGCTCATTGTTAGACATACTATCTTCCGGGACCCAGGTATTCTCCGATGCCGGGGCCCCTTCCCAAGCCACCAAATATTCCACCCCTCCCCCTCTCAAACGAGAGTCCAGTATTTCCGTGACCTCGTTGCACTGCTCCCTTTCCTCCATTTCGGGTGGTGAGCCTTCCACTCCCCCACTACCCGCTCTCCTTCCCCCCTCCCTGTAGGGGAACAGCAGTGACCTATGGAACACCGGATGGATTCTCATGCTTTCTGGCAACCTGAGCTTAAACGCCACCGGATTTATTTGCTGGATAACCTCAAAGGGCCCCACCTTCCTGGCCTTGAGTTTCTTACAGCCCCCTTTCCAAGGCAATCCTTGCGTGGACAACCACACCTTGTCCCCAATCTTGATTACCTCCCCTGCTCGTCGATGTTTGTCGGCTTCCTTCTTGTATAACTCCTTAGCCCTTTCCAAATTTAACTGCAGCTGTCTGTGGATCGCTTCCATTTCCTCCACAAACTGTTCGGCCGCTGGAACACTCCCCGACTCCTCCCCCCTCCCAGGGAAGGCCCTTGGATGACGCCCATGATTGGCAAAGAACGGTGTCATCCCTGTGGATACATTCTCCGCATTGTTGTAAGCAAACTCTGCCAGGGCTAGTTTGTCCACCCAATCGTTCTGCTTCTGACTTACGTAACACCTCAAATACTGTTGTAAAACAGCATTCGCCCTCTCCGCTTGCCCATTGGTCTCGGGGTGTCTCGCCGTTGTAAAGCTCACTTCCACCTGGAGCAGCCCCATTAGCTTGCGCCAAAATCGTGAGGTAAATTGAGCCCCCCGGTCTGACACCACCCTTGCAGGTACCCCATGTAACCTAAACACGTGCTCTACAAAGAGCCTAGCTGTTTCCTCCGCCGTTGTGGCATGCGAACAGGGCACGAAATGGCACATTTTGGTTAAGTGATCAACCACCACCATGACCGCTGTCTTCCCCTTACATCTGGGCAGATCAGTGATAAAATCTACACCCACCACCTCCCACGGCTTCCCAGGTGTAGGCAATGGTTCCAGCAATCCCGCTGGTGCCGCCCTTTCCCCTTTGGCCCTCTGACATGTGTCACATCCTCGCACATATTCCTTTACATCCGCTCTCACCCTTGGCCACCAAAATTCCCTCGTGACCAGTAGCTTGGTCTTATGCTGTCCAAAATGCCCCGCCGTACAACTGTCATGGAGTTGCTTGAGTATTCGGCCCCGAAGGTCTTTTCCTGGAACATACAAGGCCCCTTTGTGGTACAGTAACCCCCCTTTCACCTCAAAACCACCCTCGGCACCCCCTCTTCCTCTTAACTCCCCCATCTTTTGTCTGGCAAAGGCATCGTCTCTGAGCATTTGCATCAGTTCGTCGTCCTTGACCAACGTCCCCCCGCATAACCATTTGCTCTCTGGGAATATCAGTCTTGCTACAGGTGGTCCTTCCCCCATCATATACTCAGGTTTCCGGGAGAGCGCATCCGCCCTCACATTCTGCTCTCCCAGCACGTATTGGATCTTGAAGTTGAAGTTGGCAAAGAACTCTGCCCACCTTATCTGTCTCTGGCACAACACCCGTGCCGTGCGCCAATACTCCAAGTTTTTATGGTCAGTGCACACCAAAATTTGGTGCTTTGCCCCAACCAGGAAATGCCGCCATTGTTTAAAAGCAGCCACGATCGAAAGCAATTCCTTATCGTAGATGGTGTAGTTCTGCTCTGATTTGTTGAGCTTCCGTGAGAAGAAAGCACACGGACGCCATTCCCCTTTTCGATCTGGCTGCAGCAGCACCGCCCCTATCGCCCGATCTGACGCATCTGTTTCCACCCGTAGTGGTTGAGCCGGGTCGACGTGAATCAGCTGCTCCTCTGAAGCGAAAGCCCTCTTTAGTTTCTCAAAGCCCTCTTGGGCCGCCTGCGTCCACTGAAACTTTTTCTTAACACAGAGACAGTCCGTGATTGGCACCGTCAGTTCTGCAAAATTCTTTATGAATTTCCTGTAGAAATTGCTGAAACCCAGGAAACGCTGGACATCTTTCCTGGTTTTGGGACACTCCCATTCCACCACTGCCTTCACCTTCCCCGGGTCCATAGCCAACCCCTGGTCCGACAGCCTGTACCCCAGGAATTCGACTTGCTTTGCGTGGAACTGACACTTCTCCAGCTTGACCCACAAGCAGTTCTCCTTGAGTTTGCTCAGGACTTGACGTACATCCTCCACGTGCTGTTTTTTGTCTTCCGAGAACACAAGAAGATCATCTAAAAAGCAGACGCAGTTCTTGTAGAGCAAGGGTCCTAACACGTGGTGCATGAAGGCTTGGAAACAGTGGCTTCCGCACTGCAAACTGAAGGGCATGACTAAATATTCAAATGCCCCCATCGGGGTGAACATGGTGGTCTTCCACTCATCGCCTTCTCTTACTCTGATCAGGTTGTAAGCCCCCCGGAGATCCAGTTTGGTGAAAATCTTCCCCTTCCGCACCCGTGCCAAAACCTCGTCGATCCTCAGCATTGGGAAGGCCACCGGTTCCATCTGGCTGTTCAAAATTCTATAGTCCACCACTAGGCGTCGCTCTTTTGTTGATCTCTTGTCGACGAAAAACACGGGACTCCCGCCTGCAGCCTTGGACTCCCTGATAAAACCCCTTCTCAGGTTCTTCTCAATAAACTCCTTGAGGTCCTTGAGCTCTCCCTCCGACAAGGAATAGGTTTTTCCCACCGGCAACGTGGCCCCTGGTACCAGGTTGATCTGACAGTCATACTGCCGATGGGGTGGCAACGCATCCGCCTCTTTCTCGCTGAACACCTCCTGTAGATGCCTGTAACACGACGGAATCTCGCTCGTCCCCGCTCTGCATGCTGCTGCCCTCCTGCCCTCGCTTTGACGATCTAGCCCTTGGGCTAGGCAGTTCTCCATGCAGTGCATTGAGCCAAACGTCAGGGACCATTGGTGCCAGGAAAGCATCGGATCGTGCAACGCCAACCAGCTCATGCCCAATATGATAGGCGGCCCCGCTAGTGTGGCAACGTGAAAGGCGATGACCTCAGAGTGTGTGGCCACTCGCATTCGCATTGGGGGTGTTCGATGCGTCACTTCACCCCCCAGCAGTTCTCTCCCATCAATTGTTGTCACTTGCAGCGGAAAATCCAAAGGCCTCAGGTTCAGTTGGTGTCGCACCGCAAACTCCTTGCTGAAAAAGGAGGCTGAGGCCCCAGAATCAATTAATGCCAACTCCTCCACCGTCTGTCCATTTGGGAGTTCTAGCACCACCTCCAACATTATGCTTGCTTTGGGGTGTCCAAGCCGGGGACTTTCTGTGCTGCTCCCGCCTGGCTGTTGCCCCGGTTCCCCACCAGCCAGGCCTCTTCGTTTCCCGAATGCTGGGGCTCCTCTCCCTCTGCCTGCTGTGTGGCCCCTACCATTCCCTGCCAGTTACGACGCTCTGGGCACACTCTGGCAAAGTGCCCAGTCTTCTGACACACAAAACACCTTTTTCCCGCTTGCCAGTCTTTTTTTTCCTTCCTGCCAGACCGTTGGGCTTTCGAACTCTCCCGCGCCCTGACTGTGCCTATCTCCATAGGCTCCGGCGCTTGTTGACATTCCGAGGCAGCTGCAGGCATCTCAGGAATGCGGTCACCATGGAAACTCTGCTCTCTGCCTTGCTTCCTTTCCCGCCATCTGGCTTCTTGTCTCAAACCCGACCCCAGAGCAGCCTTTGTTAATTCGTCCATATTTTTAGGTCGTGGCCCCCTTGCCAGCTCGTCCTTAATTTCTGGATTAAGTCCATTTTTAAATATTGCTGTTACTGGGTCCGCCTCTAAATCCCACCCCAGTTTCTGTACCAGCCTAGCAAACTCAGACCAGTAACTGCGTACGGTGGATTTGCCTTGTCTCAAAGCCAGCAGCTCCTCCTGCGTTCTGTCAATTAAACTCTGATCTGCATAGATAAAATCCATTGCTTGCCAAAGCTTGGCTTCATTTCTGAGGGCTTCATTCCCCGAGGCTATTAACGGCCTTATCCAGCTTCGAGCCCCTCCTCCCAGATGTCTAATGATGTGAGCAACCTTTGCTGCATCGTTCTGAAACTTATCTCCTTCCAGTTCCAGAAAATATTTCATATCTGTTTTGAAATCCAAGTAACTTTACGTGTCTCCCTGGAACCTTTCCACCCACACGCACCTGCCCCCATCTGCCGATAGACCACCTTGGGTTCCTCTCTGAGCAGTACGGGCTTCCTCCAAACGGCTCTGCAGGTCTTGGGATCTTTGTTCCAGAGCGACATTTCGCTTTTTCAATTCCAACAGCTCCTTCTCCATGTCGAAGCTGTTCCCTTATTCCACCAGCTTTCCAGCAGAAAAAATAGAGGAGTGGGAGCAAGCTGCCAGAGGCTTAGTGCTGTCCAGCTGGCCATAGATAAGACTCCGGGCTCCCAGCCAGTTCCAAACAATTGATTTATTTGACAAAGTTCAAATGTACATCTCCAGCGTTTCCATTAACCTCCTCCCTCTTGTGCGCAGTTGCTCCCACTAAAGTTATTTCCTTCCTTTTTTTACCCAGCATGCAAACCTGCGAAGACTCCTCCCCTTACTTCCTCTGTGTACAGCATGACTTGTCCCAGGCTCACACTCCTCCTCCCCCTCTTCTTCAGACTGACTCTCTGACGACTGGCTGCTGATAATCTCTCTATGCTCCCTATAACTGCTGATTTCTGTCCTTTCCTCTTTTCCCGTTTGCCTCTCCCTGACATTAATAATAAAGTTTCAAATCCAGCAGGGAAAACCTCCTCTCTCTCTTACATCTGTTAATAATTTACTTTTTATACTTGGTTTCTTCCCTTTCCAGATAAACCTAGATATATCTCCTTGCCATTTTTCAAAGCATCCTGTGTTGCCTATTGCCGGGACTGATTGGAATAAAAATAACATTTTTGGCAATACATTCATTTTTATTACCGATATTCTTCCCCAAAATGATAAATCCATTCTTCCCCATATCTCTAAAGCTCTTTTTATTTCTTTCCACTCATTCTTGTAATTGTCTTTAAAACTATTAATATTCTTAGCTGTCAGACAAATCTCTCAGAATTTGACTTTGTTATGTATAACTAACTGTTTTCTGTTGTAATTCCTTTTGGCCTTGCTCCATTGTGCTTTTTACCAAAAACGTAGTCTTATTCTTGTTTAGTTTAAAGCCTCCGGCCTGCCCGAAGTCCTGTATCTATTTTTACTACCTTTGGTGGAGTATTTATGGGATCCTTTACTGTAATTACAAGGTGAACTATAGAAGCTTTTAATTTATATGCTTTATTTTCTACTGTTGTTCCTCTAATTAATTTCTCCACTTTTTCTCTCTCGCCAGGGCTTCTAATACCAAAATAAATAATAATGGTGATAGGGGATATCCTTGTCTTGTCCCCTTCGTTATTTTACACTTTTCTTTTATAACCTTATTAACAATCAGCATAGACTGTTGGTAAAAATAAATTGCATCAATTCCTCTCCCAAATGCTTCCCCAAAATTCATTTTTTCTTTTATCTTTTTCATAAAAGCCCATGAAACATTATCAAAAGCCTTTTCAGCATCAATAAACATTAAGACAGCTTTTTTCTCATTTCTTACTTCCAAATATTCAATAATATCAATTATATTCCTTATATTCTCCTTCATCTGACGTCCTGGTAGAAAGCAGGCCTGCTTGTCATGAATTTTTTCTGCTAAAACACCTTTCATTCTATTGCCCAAGATATGAGCAATACTCTAAATGGACTTCTATCCTACAGGAGTGATGGCCAACAACTTGGATAGCTTGAAAAGAGGATTAGACTGAAAGCAGAGGAAGGCAGGGGGCTCTTGTACTCAAATACTGCTTGCTGGTTTCCCGCAGGCATTTAGTTGACAACTGTGAGAACAGGATGCTGGACTACGTGGGCCTTTGCCCAAATGAGCAGGCTCTTCTTATATTCTAATACAGGCATCCCCAAACTTGGCCCTCCATATGTTTTGGGACTTGGCCTTCAAGATGTTTTTGGGACTAAAACTCCCATCATCCGTAGCTAACAGGACCAGTGGTCAGGGATGATGGGAATTGTAGTCCCAAAACATCTGGAGGGCCAAGTTTGGAGATGCCTGTTCTAATATACTGCAATATTTTTACAGTTACATGTGGCATAGTAACACTAAAGTTTTACTTCTTAGTCATAGGAGAGAGTGCTACTTGAGCCTGTGATCATTTCCTCCCTGGGAAAAGAGAAATACAGAGATGTGTCTAAGATGCCAATTGCACCATAGATTATAAAATAATGCAGTTTATTAAGTGTGAATGGAGTTATTAAGTGTGAATCATGTGTTTTTCTTGCCATTATCTCACCTGCATTCCTAAAAGTTTGGAACATAGAGAGGACAGTGGAGAAAGGAGACGGTGTTAAAATAAGAGAAGGTGCATACTGGGATTGAAATGTGTTCAGTTCCTTTCTTGTCTTTCCTGAAAGTCTTAACAGGATTCTCTTCCCCCTCCCCCACTCTCAAACAGGTGAGGAAGATGATGGCCAGAATTCTATGGAGCCATCTGTGAATTCATTGGGAAGAACAAAGAAACAGTTTAAATGCATGGAATGTGGGATGTTCTTTAGTCACAGTGGAAGACTGAGGACACATCAACGAATTCACACAGGGGAGAAACCATTTAAATGTACTGACTATCGAAAGAGCTTCAGGGACAATGGAACACTTAGAAAACATCAACGAACTCACACAGGGGAGAAACCATTGGAATGTATTGAATGTGGAAAGAGCTTCAATGATAGTGGAAACCTTAGACAACATCAACAAACTCACACGGGGGAGACACCATTTAAATGTATTGAATGTGGAAAGTGCTTCAGTCAAAATGGAAAACTTAGAAGACATCAACAAACTCACACGGAGACACCATTTAAATGTATTGAATGTGGAAAGTGCTTCAGTCAAAATGGAAAACTTAGAAGACATCAACGAACTCACACGGGGGAGACACCATTTAAATGTATTGAATGTGGAAAGAGCTACAGTCAATATGGAACACTTAGAATACACCAACGAACTCACATAGGGGAGACACCATTTGAATGTATTAAATGTGGAAAGAGCTTCAGTCGAAATGGAACACTTAGAATACACCAACGAACTCACACAGGGGAGAAACCATTTAAATGTATTGAATGTGGAAAGAGCTTCAGTCAAAATGGACACCTTAGAATACACCAACGAACTCACACGGGGGAGAAACCATTTAAATGTATTGAATGTGGAAAAAGCTTCAGTCAAAATGGAACACTTCGAATACACCAACGAACTCACACAGGGGAGAAACCATTTAAATGTATTGAATGTGGAAAGAGCTTCAGTCGAAATGGAACACTTAGAATACACCAACGAACTCACACAGGGGAGGAACCATTTGAATGTATTGAATGTGGAAAAAGCTTCAATGATAGTGGAAACCTTAGACAACATCAACAAACTCACACGGGGGAGACACCATTTAAATGTTTTGAATGTGGAAAAAGCTTCAGTCAAAATGGACACCTTAGAATACACCAAGTAACTCACACAGGGGAGAAACCATTTAAATGTATTGAATGTGGAAAGAGCTTCAGTCAAAATGGAACACTTAGAATACACCAACGAACTCACACAGGGGAGAAACCATTTAAATGTATTGAATGTGGAAAGAGCTTCAGTGTAAGTGGAGTCCTTAGAAAACATCAACGAACTCACACGGGGGAGAAACCATTTGAATGTATTGAATGTGGAAAGCGCTTTAGTCAATATGTACACCTTAGAAAACATCAACGAACTCACACGGGGGAGAAACCATTTAAATGTATTGAATGTGGAAAAAGCTTTAGTAGAAGTGAACACCTTAGAAGACACCAACGAACTCACACAGGGGAGAAACCATTTAAATGTATAGAATGTGGAAAGAGCTTCAGTCGATATGGAAGACTTAGAAGACATCAACAAACTCACACGGGGGAGAAACCATTTAAATGTATTGAATGTGGAAAAAGCTTCAGTCAAAATGGACACCTTAGGGAACATCAACGAACTCACATGGGGGAGAAACCATTTAAATGTATAGAATGTGGAAAGAGCTTCAGTCGATATGGAACACTTAGAATACACCAACAAACTCACACGGGGGAGAAACCATTTAAATGTATTGAATGTGGAAAAGCTTCAGTCAAAATGGACACCTTAGGGAACATCAACGAACTCACACAGGGGATAAACCATTTAAATGTATTGAATGTGGAAAGAGCTTCAGTCAGAATGGAACACTTAGAAGACATCAACAAACTCACACGGGGGAGAAACCATTTAAATGTATTGAATGTGGAAAGTGCTTCAGTCAAAATAGAAAACTTAGAGGACATCAACGAACTCACACGGGGGAGAAACCATTTAAATGTATTGAATGTGGAAAAAGCTTTAGTAGAAGTGAACACCTTAGAATACACCAACGAACTCACACGGGGGAGAAACCATTTAAATGTATTGAATGTGGAAAAAGCTTCAGTCAAAATGGAACACTTCGAATACACCAACGAACTCACACAGGGGAGAAACCATTTGAATGTATTGAATGTGGAAAGAGCTTCAATAATAGTGGAAACCTTAGACAACATCAACAAACTCACACGGGGAGACACCATTTAAATGTATTGAATGTGGAAAGTGCTTCAGTCAAAATGGAAAACTTAGAAGACATCAACGAACTCACACGGGGGAGAAACCATTTAAATGTATTGAATGTGGAAAGTGCTTCAGTCAAAATAGAAAACTTAGAGGACATCAACGAACTCACACGGGGGAGAAACCATTTAAATGTATTGAATGTGGAAAAAGCTTTAGTAGAAGTGAACACCTTAGAATACACCAACGAACTCACACGGGGGAGAAACCATTTAAATGTATTGAATGTGGAAAAAGCTTCAGTCAAAATGGAACACTTCGAATACACCAACGAACTCACACAGGGGAGAAACCATTTGAATGTATTGAATGTGGAAAGAGCTTCAATAATAGTGGAAACCTTAGACAACATCAACAAACTCACACGGGGAGACACCATTTAAATGTATTGAATGTGGAAAGTGCTTCAGTCAAAATGGAAAACTTAGAAGACATCAACGAACTCACACAGGGGAGAAACCATTTAAATGTATTGAATGTGGAAAGAGCTTCAGTGTAAGTGGAGTCCTTAGAAAACATCAACGAACTCACACGGGGGAGAAACCATTTGAATGTATTGAATGTGGAAAGCGCTTTAGTCAATATGTACACCTTAGAAAACATCAACGAACTCACACGGGGGAGAAACCATTTAAATGTATTGAATGTGGAAAAAGCTTTAGTAGAAGTGAACACCTTAGAAGACACCAACGAACTCACATGGGGGAGAAACCATTTAAATGTATAGAATGTGGAAAGAGCTTCAGTCGATATGGAAGACTTAGAAGACATCAACAAACTCACACGGGGGAGAAACCATTTAAATGTATTGAATGTGGAAAGAGCTTCAGTCAAAATGGACACCTTAGGGAACATCAACGAACTCACATGGGGGAGAAACCATTTAAATGTATAGAATGTGGAAAGAGCTTCAGTCGATATGGAACACTTAGAATACACCAACAAACTCACACGGGGGAGAAACCATTTAAATGTATTGAATGTGGAAAAAGCTTCAGTCAAAATGGACACCTTAGGGAACATCAACGAACTCACACAGGGGATAAACCATTTAAATGTATTGAATGTGGAAAGAGCTTCAGTCAGAATGGAACACTTAGAAGACATCAACAAACTCACACGGGGGAGAAACCATTTAAATGTATTGAATGTGGAAAGTGCTTCAGTCAAAATAGAAAACTTAGAGGACATCAACGAACTCACACGGGGGAGAAACCATTTAAATGTATTGAATGTGGAAAAAGCTTTAGTAGAAGTGAACACCTTAGAATACACCAACGAACTCACACGGGGGAGAAACCATTTAAATGTATTGAATGTGGAAAAGCTTCAGTCAAAATGGAACACTTGAATACACCAACGAACTCACACACGGGAGAAACCATTTTAATGTATTTATTGTCGAAAGAGCTTCACTAAAAGAGGAAACCTTAGACAACATCAACAAAATCACACGGCTGAGAAACCATTTAAATGTATTGAATGTGGAAAGTGCTTCAGTCAAAATGGAAAACTTAGAAGACATCAACGAACTCACACGGGGGAGAAACCATTTAAATGTATTGAATGTGGAAAGAGCTTCAGTCAAAATGGAACACTTAGAATACACCAACGAACTCACATAGGGGGGACACCATTTGAATGTATTGAATGTGGAAAGAGCTTCAGTCCAAATGGAACACTTAGAATAGACCAACGAACTCACACAGGGGAGAAACCATTTAAATGTATTGAATGTGGAAAGAGCTTCAGTGGAAGTGGAGACCTTAGAAAACATCAACGAACTCACACGGGGGAGAAACCATTTGAATGTATTGAATGTGGAAAGCGCTTTAGTCAATATGTACACCTTAGAAAACATCAATGAACTCACACGGGGGAGAAACCATTTAAATGTATTAAATGTGGAAATAGCTTTAGTAGAAGTGAGCACCTTAGAATACACGAAGGAACTCACACGGGGGAAAAACCATTTAAATGTATTGAATGTGGAAAGTGCTTCAGTCAAAATGGAACACTTAGATTACACCAACGAACTCACACGGGGTGGAAACCATTTAAATGTATTGAATGTGGAAAGAGCTTCAGTCGATATGGACACCTTAGAAGACACCAACGAACTCACATGGGGGAGAAACCATTTAAATGTACTAAATATGGAAAGAGCTTCCATCCATATAGACACCTTATAGGACACCAACTAACACATGGGGAAGAAACAATTTTAATGTATGGCATGTGGAAGGAGCTGCAGCAAAAGTAGAGCACTTAGAATACACCAACTAACTCATACAGGGGAGAAACCATTGGAACATATTGAATGTGGGAAGAGCTTTAACAGGAAGGATAAACGTACATTACATTGGCGAACTCCCACAGGGGAGAAGCTTAAGTCAATATGGAAGCTTAGGAAACATCCGCTGACTCACATGGGGAAACCAGATTTATGCAACGTGGAAAGAGCTTCAGAGGGAGTGAAGACCTTACTATCCATAAGAAAATTCACACAGGCAGAAAACCATATAAATGTATGGAGTTTTCCACTCAGGTTTTACCAGATTTCCTGGGAAGTGAAGATTACTGTCAAGTCTTTGGAAGTACAGAAAAGAATTTGGCAGCGTTTGTTTTCAATAATAATAATAGCAACAGCAACAATAATAACAATAATATAATTTATACCACACCCATCTGGCTGGATTTCCCCCGCGGCACAGCCACTCTTGGTGGCTTCCAACAAAATATTGAAATACAATAGTCCTTCAGATATTAAAAGCTTCCCTAAACAGGGCAGCCTTCAGATGTCTTTTAAAGTCTGGTGGCTGTTTTTTCCTTTGACATCTGGTGGAAGGGCGTTCCCCAGGGTGGGTGCCACTACCAAGAAGGCCCTCTGCCTGGTTCCCTGTAACTTCGCTTCTCCCCGTGAGGGAACCGCCAGAAGGCTCTTGGTACTGGACCTCCAAGTCCAGGCAGATCGATGGGGGTGGAGACTCTCCTCCCGTCACCAGTCTAGCTGCCGCATTCTGGATTAGTTGTTATTTCCGGATGACCTTCAAAGGTAGCCCCACGTAGAGCGCATTGCAGTACTCTAAGCGGGAGATAACTGGAGCATGCACTACTCTGGCAAGACAGTCTGCGGGCAGATAGGGTCTCAACCTGCGTACCAGATGGAGCTGGTAAACAGCTGCCCTGGACACAGAATTGACCTGTGCCTCCATGGACAGCTGTGAGTCCAAAATGACTCCCAGTCTGCGCACCTGGTCCTTTAGGGGCACAGTTACCCCAATCAGCACCAGGGAGTCCTCCACACCTGCCTGCCCCCCAAAACAGGACATCTGCCGTATCAGCATTCAACTTTAATATGTTAGCTGCCATCCATCCTCCAACCGCCTCCAGACACTCACACAGGACTTCCACCATCTTCACTGGTTCTGATTTGAAAGAGAGGTCGAGCTGGGTATCCGCATACTGGTGAACACCCAGCCCAAACCCCCTGATCTCTCCCAGCGGCTTCATATGGATGTTGAAAAGCATGGGGAGAGGACGGAACCCTGAGGCACCCCAGAAGTGAGAGCTCAGGGGTCTGAACACTCAACCCCCAACACCACTTTCTGAACACGGCCCAGCGTATAACAGTGCCTCTAGCTCCCAGCCCCTCTAGATGGTCCAGAAGAATGTTATGGTCGATGGTGTCAAAGCCTCTGAAAGATCCAGCAGAACTAGGAAACAGCTCTCACCTTTGTCCCTAGCCCGCCGGAGATCATCGACCAGTGTGCCCCGGTCTGTTTCAGTCGCATGATGTGGCCTGAATCCCAACTGGAAGAGATCCAAATGGTCCACATCTTCCAGGCTTCCCTGGAGTTGTTCAGCAACCACCCACTCAATCACCTTGCAAAAGAATGGAAGATTTGAGACTGGGCGATAGTTGGCCTTATAGGCTGGGTCTAAAGATTATTATTTTTTTAAGAAGCAGTTTAATACAGTGGTTCCTCGGGTTACATACGCTTCAGGTTACATACTCCGCTAACCCAGAAATATTATCTCGGGTTAAGAACTTTGCTTCAGGATGAGAACAGAAATCGTACAGCGGCAGCAGGAGGCTCGATTAGCTAAAGTGGTGCTTCAGGTTAAGAACAGTTTCACGTTAAGAACAGACCTCCAGAACGAATTAAGTTCTTAACCAGAGGTACCACTGTAACTGCCTCTTTGAGTGTGTCTGGGAAGGCTCCCTCACAGAGAGAAGCATTCACCACCCCACGGAGCCCATCGCCCAGCCCTTCCCGGCTAGCTTTTATGAGCCAGGATGGGCAAGGATCAAGGAGACAGGTGGTTGGTTTCACTCATCCAAACACCCTGTCCACATCCTCAGAGGTAACAGTTGGAATTGATCCCACGCAACTTGACTAGACAGGACTCTAGCACTCACCAGCCCCTGCCCTGCTCCCACGGGGGAGTCTACCTCTCTGAATCTGAGTGACTTTATCTGCAAAAAATCTTTGCAAAATCATTGCAGGAGATCATGTGGCCCGTACGGGGCCCCATTGGAGAGTTGGTTGCATTAAATTGCAAACCACCTGAAAGAGTCTCCTGCTGCTGTTTTCTGCAGATGCAATAGAGGGGGTGAAGAAGGTTTTCTTCACCTTCGCTATCGCCATTTGGTAGGCTCAACGTTGAGCTCTAACCTGTGTCCGGTCAGATTCAGAATGAGGTTTCTGCCACTGGTGCTCTAGCCGTCTCGTTGCCCTCAGATCCATGGAAAACCACGGGGCTGTCCGGGCTACATGCAATCGGAGAGGGCGCTTCAGAACCAGACAGCCAATAGCCCTGGTTAACTCCACATTCCAACGGGCCACTAGGGAATCAGCTGAAAGGCCATCAGCATGGGATAAAACATCACCTACCACTCTCTGGAAACCATTTGGATCCAATAAGTGGCCTGGGCGGACCATCCAAATCAGTCTCACGTCCCTGCAGAGGGGAAGGGTTGTGGTGAAGTCCAGTTGCACCAGGAAGTGATCTGACCATGGCACTTCTTTAGATTTGCTTTTACTTAGTGGCAGATCACCAACAGGTTAGCACAAGGTCTAAGGCATGTCCGTGGCTATGAGTTGGGCCAAACTTACTCAGGGACAGCCCCATGGAGGCCATGCTTTCCACAAAGTCCCAATCAGCCCCTTGTAAGGTTGTGTCGGTGTGAATGTTATAATTCCCCAGGACAACCAAACTAGGTGTCTCCAGGAGAACATCTGCCACAACCTGAAGCAGTTCGGGCAGGGAATCCTTGGTGCAGCGGGGAGATTGGTACAAAGGAATCCTGTACTGCCCCTATTGTTCAACTTCAAGAATATGCACTCAGAGAACTGGGTCTTCCCAATAGGACAGCTGGTGCAAATTAATGACTTCCTACAAATCACTGCAAACCACCACCCCCTCCCTGCCCACATGACTTGGGTTGCTGTGCGTAAGAGAAACCTGGTGGACAAGCAGCGGCAAGGACAGGTCCATTACTGCATACAAAAATATTCTTTTGTTTCTTTTGGGATGTCTGTTGTTAATAGGCCCAAAAAAAAACATTTCTGGTTTTTTGGGGAAAGTATGTCGTAACATTTTATTTAATTCTTCATTAATGGTATCCCAAATTTATTTAATTTTAGGGCACGTCCACCACATATGGGAGAAATTCCCTTCTTTAAGTTTGCACCTCCAACACCTTCCACTGGTGTTTTGGTTCATTTTAGCCAATTTTGAGGGTTTAAGATACCATCTGTACATCATTTTTTAAAAATAATTATTTTATTGTATAACATGCTGTAAATCTTATGTCTCTTTTCCATAAGTTTTCCTATTTTTCTAAATCAATTGTATGACCGAAATCTTGTGCCCATTTGACCATGACATCTTTAACCCCTTTGTCTTTTAAGTGCCAATTTAATAATAGTTTATACATTTTGGATAAATACAATTTGGATAATTTTTTATCATTTATAATCAATTCTTTGTCTATTTCAAATAATTTTGTATCAAATCCATTTTCTTTCTTGTCTTCCTCAAAAATTGCATTTAATTGATGGTATTGAAACCAGCCTAGTCCTGTATGTCTTATTGTTTCATTTTTCCCCCGATTTGGAATCTATTATTTACTTCCTCTAAAAGATCTTTATACGTCAACCAATTTGAATCCATAATTTTTCTTTTTACTGCCTCTGCCTCCATTGGTGACAACCACCATCAGGTTTGTGGTTCTAATAATTTTTTGTTCCTTTCCCAAACTTCATATAAGGCTTTCCTAATAATGTGATTTAGAAATACATTGTGGATTTTTGTTTTATTATAACCCAGGTAGCTGTGCCACCCCACTATATTATCCCAGCCCTCAATATCCAATAATTTAGTATTCTTCAAGATCATTTCTTGAGCCAGACCAGGCAGGCAGCTTCGTAGTAGATCCTAAAATCTGGCATTCCAAATGCTCCTTTGTTTTTGGTTTCTGTTAATAATTTAAATTTAATTCTGTGTTTTTTGTGTTGTTGTTTTTTGCCCTGACAAATGTATTTTGCCAAATACCTGTGCCATTCTTAAAAACAATTTAAGCCATTAAGAACCAGAATTGATTGAAAAAGGAACAGCATTTTTGGTAAAACTACCATCTTGATTGTAGAAATTCTTCCCCACAACGTGAGTTTTAATTTACTCCAGATTTCTAAGTCTTTCCTAATATTGTTCCATACCTTAATATAAATGTCTTTCTATAAATTAATGTTTTTCATGGTTATCCAAATTCCTAAATACTTTGCTCTGTTAGTAATTTTAAGTCCTGTTTCTATTTCTAACTTTACTTTTTCTTCTATATCTAATTTTTTTACCAGTTTTGTTTTTTCTTTATTAATTTTGAATCATGATAATTGTCCAAACGCCTTTCTTCTTTTCTTTTCTTTTCTTTTCTTTTTTTATAATAATTTTTATTGGTTTTCTTTCTTACAACAAATATCCTTCACCATCACTCAAAATTCCTTTATCTCATCATAGTCTTTCAATTTTAACTTTCCTTCTTGTTCTATTAGTAATTCTCTGTATGTTGGCCATATTCCTTTCATTGCTGACGTATTAAGTGATAGTGCTTCAATGGGTGATAGCCACCATGGAGTTTGGGGTTCCAATAATTCTTTGTATTTCCCCCATACCTTTATTAAAAACTTATTATAGTATTGTGGAGTCCTTTGTGTACTTTTGTTTTCCCATACCACAAATATGCATGCCAACCAAATCTGTTGTCATGTCCTTCCAGTTCTATTGCCTCTTCTTTCTCCAATTTAATCCAATCCCGAATCCGAGTAAGACAAGCTGCTTCATAGTAAATTTTGAGATCTTTAAGGGAAAAGCCTCCCCTTTCTTTTAAGTCTGTATTTTGTATTTTATTCTTCACCTTGTTTTTTCCAATATTACTACAATATTACTCTAAAGCAGCCTTTTTCAATCTGTGGGCCCCCAGATGTTACTAGCAAGGCCAGAGCTCAGGGATGATGGGAGTTGTAGTCCAACAACATCTGGGGACCCACAGGTTGAGAACTGCTGCTGTAGAGGGTTTTCTGTTGTAATTATTAGATTGTCTGCTTAGGCTCTGACCTTCTAGGCCCTTTGTCCAACTTTAATTCCTTCTAGTCTAGGGTCTTCTTTTATTACTTTCAAATATCCTTCCAGAAGTGTGCTAAAGAGGAGAGGAGAAAGAGGGCAGCCCTGTCTTGTTCCCTTAGAGATGTTAAAAGCTTCTGATGTTTCACCATTTATAATTAGTCTGACCTGTTGGGAATTATAAATCGCTTTTATACCACTACATATTTTCTCACCCAAACTCATCATTTCCAAAGTTTTTTGCATGAATGCCCCTGAAACATCAAATGCTTTCTCCGCATCCACCAAGATCATTGATGCCTTTTTATCCGGTCTCATTTCTAGGTATTTTATTATATCTACTACCAATCATAAAGGTAAAGGGACCCCTGACCATTAGGTCAAGTTGTTGCCAACTCGGGTTGCGGCGCTCATCTTGCTTTATTGGCCGAGGGAGCCGGCGTACATTTTCTGGGTCGTGGCCAGCATGACTAAGCCGCTTCTGGCGAACCAAAGCAGCGCATGGAAAGGCTTTTTACCTTCCCGCTGGAGCGTTATGTAATAAAATAAAAGGTCTTTTATATATAATAAGTTCATAAATGTATCAGCTAAGCACGTACATAGATACGTGGACCACGTGTCTGGAGCAGCACAGGAAGACCGTCCTGAAACCATTTTGACTCCCAAACTGACCAAATATATTCTCTGCAAGGAGGGAGGGGGTGAGGGAACCTTCCCATTGTCTCAGGAATTGGGTAATCACCGTCTCAAAAATGGCCAGACTACCAGGAAAGGCAATCAGATAAGGCATTATCAGATAACCTGGGAACAACAACAGTCAAATTTCTGTTGTAGACTGCCTTTTCTGTGATGTAGGTATGATGTTTGTGGTGATGTTTGTTTGTCTTAGGTTACACCCCTTCTGTGATGTATGTATGATGTATGGAGGGGTGGTCTTGAGCTCCAGGGAAGGGAATTTAAAAGGTCTATATAAGGGCAGGCACACCTTGGTTCTGAGGTCCTCCTCCTTTCTCCTGCGTGTGAGGGGAGCACCCTGTTGCAACAGTTCAATAAAGATCAGTCTTACTAGCTGCTTTGCTTCTCAATATTCTCTGGTTGGCTTCTTTGATTTTCTCCAACTGATGGAGAACTGGCAAAGGACTCTATAAAGGCTCTTGGTTCCCCATAAGGAAATAAGGGCAGATTTTGTTTACAACAGGTACCTCTTTATCTTCTTGCACTTTGTGCTTTCGAACTGCTAGGTTGGCAGGAGCAGAGACAGAGCAACGGGAGCTCACCCCTTCATCGGGGATTCGAACCGCCGACCTTCTGATTGGCAAGCCCTAGGCTCTGTGGTTTAACCCACAGCGCCACCCGCGTCCCTTATTGAGGACAATACGTTCTTGCAAAAGCGGGGGTCCAAAGCAGGCACAGTCCAGCTGGGGCAAGGAATGAGCTTATATTCCCCATGCACACGTTCCCTCCCTCGTCTCCCCATTGGTTGGGTGCTACAAGGTCTTCCTTCCCCCAATTATCAAATAACAGACAAGAGGCTGAACGTGGAAACAAACTTCTCCTTCCTCCTCAGAGTTGCCTCCACTTCCGGCTTCACCAGCAGAGATAAAATTGGGGCTTGGAAAGGAGGGAGGGAGGGAGGGGAGGAGGCGGGAAGCGGGGCTGCATAGTGCGGAGGTGGAGGAGGGGGCTTCTTCCTAATTAAGCCTCCTAATTAAGCGCCCTTACGTCCTGCCTCCCACGCGGGGGCTCCCATTCCCGCCCCCGCTGCCCAGGATGTCGGGTGAGTGCAAAGCCAATGGCGGGGAAGGAGGGAAGGGGCTTTGCGAGGGGGTCCAGGATGAGAAGCCCCCGGACGGGAAAAGAGAAGGGAGGAAAGGAAAGGGAGCTGTTTTCTTAAAGGGGGCCTTGAAGGGGAGGGGGGGAGAAGCTTCCTCCTGCATGGATCTGGTAGAAAGGGAGTTGCAGGGAAGGAGGGGGGACAGGGGAGAGGGGTGGGCATTGCTGGCCAGGATCGTCTTAATAGTATTACAGTGCTACCTCAGGTTACATACGCTTCAGGTTACAGACTTTGCTAACTCAGAAATAGTACCTTGGGTTAAGAACTTTGCTTCAGGATGAGAACAGAAATCACGCAGCAGTGGCGCGGCGGCGGGTGGTCCCATTAGCTAAAGTGGTGCTTCAGGTTAAGAACAGTTTCAGGTTAAGAACGGAGCTTCTGCATGGGGGGGGGCGGGGGTTGTCGTTTTTATTTCTTACTCTGCTATGCATCTCTGTGTTTTTCTCTTGTAAGCTGCCCTGTGATCTTTGGAGGAAGGGCAGTATAGAAATGTGAAGAATAGCTGTAAAAATAGGAAGCCCTCTTGCGTTCAAGGGTGGGGGGGACAAAGTCTCTGATCAGCATGCATAACAGGATGGGCTTAGGAGGGAATAACAATAACAGTAACATTAATTCATACTTGTAGCCTGCCCACCTGACTCCGTTGCCTCAGCAACTCAGGGCGGCTTCCAAAAACAACAACCCCAAAATTGAAAACATTGAAAACCTCCCTGTGCTGGGCTGCCATCAGAAGACTTCCGTTTTGTAGAAATGGCCTTTGAATTTAAAGAAATGCTCTCTTTAAGGAGTCCCGTGGTGTAAACGTGTATGTTGTCCTCTAGGTCCAAACACATAGTAGGAGCAAGCAGTGCTCCAAAGTGCTTCTCTTGTGAACTTGCCATCTAAATTCTTTACTCCTGACCAAAGCTCCTGTTTCCCAAAAGGACTGGAGGGGGGAGGTCTCACCACTTTTTAACCCCCCCCCCACTCCCACCTCATGGAAGGCAGAGGACGTGTTCATTCACAATCCCATGAAGTGAACGAGCTGCAGCTCCTTCCCCTCTCACTGGGCTGCAGAGGAGGAAAGGGATGGGTTTGAAGGCTCTTCCTGCCTCTCTCCCCTGAGCAACAAGAGCAAAGGGTGTTTGCAGGGCAGGAGGGCAGAGCAGGGGGCAGTGAGGGCAGAGGGAGCAGTGGGCGGATCCCCCGCCTCTCCCAGGGGGTCCTGATGCAAGCAAGGGGTTCCTTCTTCTCCATGCAAGGGCCACCCATGTGTTCAGAGCAGTCCTTTGCAGATTAACTCTTAAGTTCCAAGGGATCTCCTCTCAGGCCACTAATGTGCATACCATGCCAGCCTTAGGAAGGGAGGTGGGACAGGCAGGTGAAAGGAATTGCCAAAGGTGTTTGAAAATGGGTGGAGGCTCTTGGGAAGGGGGTGCCCAATTGGGGCTTCTCCAGGGGCAGCAGAATGTCTTGGGCAGGAGAATCCCAGCAGGGGCTCTCAGACTCCCTTGGCTTCTTCTTCCCTCCCTCCCAGGAAGCTGCAACTTGCTCTGTCTTCTGCGCTCCTCAGGAAGCTGAACCTGCAAACCTAGCTGAGACTGAACCTGCAACCCTGGCCAGGATGGAAGGAGGAAGATGGACGGTTGACCTGGTCAGGCTGTCTCCCGCATCCCTCCCCACAACCTCTGAGCATTCCCTCCCAGGACCCTTGCAGAAATCTGGTGAGTTCCAGGGGAGAGGAGATGGGGACAGGGATAGATGGATGGTGGAGGGAGAAAGAGGAAAAGATGGAGAGGAGACAAATGGATGGAAGTTCCTGACATTAAGGCGGAGGGGGGTGAGGCCTTCTCCAAAGCAGCTCCTTGTTTCTTGAATCCCTTTCATAAAGTAGTGGGGGCAGATATTCTTCCTCAAGAATTTTAAATCTTAGGAGTTACAGTGGTACCTTGGTTCTCAAACATAAGTCTTCCAAAACCAAGGCATACTTTCCTATAGAAAGTAATGGAAAATTGATTAATCCGTTCCAGACTTTTAAAAGCAACCCCTAAAACAGCAATTTAACATGAATTTTACTATCTAACAAGACCATTGATCCATAAAATGAAAGCAATAATCAATGTTCTGTACCATAAAATATTTAAGACAGTATTGTAGATGATAAAAATTAAAATTAAGACAAAAAAAACCAAGCCACAGTCAAAAATGAAAAAGCCACACAAACAAAAAAACAAAAAATAGGAAAAAACTAAAGCACCAAATGTCACCTCAGAACACTGCAACTAGAAACAGCTTTAATATTGATGGGGGGGGGCTTAAATTAACCGTGTAATGGAACAAATGGGATGAAAAAAGCCTTGATTACGATGGAGAGGACTTAAATTAGCTGCTCAAGGGTAAAACAGAATGAAAAAAAGCCTTAATTAGGATGGGGGGGGGACTTAAATTTGCTGTGCAACAGTCAAAATGGAAGCTCAGGAGCACGTTCGGTTTCCGAGGCAAAGGTCAAAAACAGGAACACCTACTTCTGGGTTTGCAAATGATGAATCAACAGAAGCATAGAACAATCTATGGACTTCCCTTTTTTGAAATATTTTTATTGTTTTTTACAAATGCATGTTTCTATCAAAGACATTTATATAATCATTTCATGAGGCTCCATCCCTTTCATGGGTCCTTATATTACCGTATTCTTCGCTCCATAAGGCGTACCGGACCTTAAGATGCACCTAGGTTTCAGAGGAGGAAAACGGGGAAAATATTCTGAATCAAATGTTGTACTAAACTATTTAATAAACTACTGGTATATCAGAGTGAGACTAAGAGGGACAGGAACTGTTTGTTTGTTTAGTGTGCAGGCTCAAGGAGCCAGCGGATTAGCTGAGACGTGGGGGATTTGCGTAATTTCCCCCTCTCCCTCATCCTCTGCCCTCCAGTCCCCAGCAGCCTTCCTTTTTTACCTCCTGATTTTCACTGCGCTCGTGGCTCAGAGCTTGAGGTTGGGGTTTTTTTTTGCTGCTGGTTGCTTAAATTTTATCCTTCCCCTCCTGTGTCCTGCCGTCCCTCTGGAGCCTCATTGCTCCGTTTAGGGAGCGGGCGGACCTTCTGCAGCTGTTGCTGGCTGCGCACCACTTTTAAGAGTGCCTTCTGGCTTTGAATCACCTGCCTCCCTTTACTATTTTACTCAAGGTATTTGCCCTGTGCCTGGGGTTTTTTTTTTTCATTTAACAGTTTGCAGCCTCTTCCTTCCGTTGCTTGTTTTGAGGCAGGATAGATTTGAGCAAGTGATCAGGACTTGGATTGCAGGGGATTCGCCATTAGCTGTGTAAAAGCGCTCCTCCTTGCAGCCTTCAACTTTGTTTGTACACGTGGCTACTGGTATCAGGTTCAGCATGAGCCAGTGTGGTGTAGTGGTTAAGAGCGGTAGTCTCGTAATCTGGGGAACCGGGTTCGAGTCTCCACTCCTCCACATGCAGCTGCTGGGTGACCTTGGGCCAGTCACACTTCTTTGAAGTCTCTCAGCCCCACTCACCTCACAGAGTGTTTGTTGTGGGGGAGGAAGGGAAAGGAGAATGTTAGCCGCTTTGAGACTCCTTAAAGGGAGTGAAAGGCGGGATATCAAATCCAAACTCTTCTTCTTCTTCTTCTTCTAATAAGCAGCCACTGGCAGCAATAGAATGGAGCATAAAAAGGAGTAGGGGCACTGGGACCCAGACAATGCTCAAATCTATCCTGCCTCAAAACAAGCTGCAGAAGTAAAAAGCACGCTCCCGCTCCCCTGCCCCTCATCCCGTGCGCTCCCCAGCCTTTTTTTTTACTTCCTGGTTTTCACTTCGCTCGTGGCTCAGAGCTCGAGGTTGGGGTTTTTTTGCTTCTGGTTGCTTAAATTTTATCCTCCCCGATCCAACCCCTCTTGTGCCCTGCTGTCCCTCTGCAGCCTCATTGCTCCATTTAGGGAGGACGCGGACCTTTGCTAGCTGAGGCTCGCTGTAAAGCAAGTGAAGCTAGAACCGCACAAAGTGGGACAGAAGCCCTGTAAGCGGATCCCGCTTTGCTTGACTGATGGGAGCCATGGCTCCGGTCCAGTGCATTCGCTCCATAAGACGCACAGGCATTTTCCCTTTCTTTTTAGAAGGAAAAAAGTGCGTCCTATGGAGCGAAAAATACGGTAATTTGTCCAAAACTACATACAGTGGTACCTCCGGTTGCAAACGGGATCCGTTCTGGAGCTTGACAGATGCAAACCGGAGGACTGCTTCTGTACACGCACGCGGCACAATAAAGTGCTTCTACGCGTGCGAGTGGCAAAACCCGGAAAAATACCAGAGGGTTACGTAACACGAGGTACCACTGTATAGATACATTCTCCACAGTTCTCATTTATCTAAATTGTCCATAAACTTATTTACAAGTGATTCCTAAAGTCCAGCTAACGTTTTGATTTGCGTGCAGTAATCTCATAGGTAAATTATAAATTTCCCCCATTCTTTTTTAAAGTACTTGTTTTCTTGATTCCTGAGCTAATTTTGCCATTTTGGCAGAGTCCAGCAGTTTGGACTCGTCAAACTCATGCTGGTAGTTTCGCGAACACTATCCAACCATCTCGTCCTCTGTCGTCCCCTTCTCCTTGTGCCCTCCATCTTTCTCAACATTAGGGTCTTTTCCAGGGAGTCTTCTCTTCTCATGAGGTAGCCAAAGTATTGGAGCCTAAGCTTCAGGATCTGTCCTTCCAGTGAGCGCTCAGGGCTGATTTCCTTAAAAATGGATAGGTTTGATCTTCTTGCAGTCCATGGGACTCTCAAGAGTCTCCTCCAGCACCATAATTCAAAAGCATCAATTATTCGCCGATCAGCTTTCTTTATGGTCCACCTTTCACTTCCATACATCACTACTGGGAAAACCATAGCTTTTACTGTACGGACCTTTGTTGGCAAGGTGATGTCTCTACTTTTTCATTATATACCATTTCCCAAAATGATACTGTTATCTTACATGACCACCACATATAGCAAAAGATACCCACTTGTTCTGTACATTTCCAGCAGATATTTGAACTTACTGTATACGTTTTAGATAACTTACTAGAGTCAAATACCACCAGCACATCATTTTCATGTAGTTTTCTTTCAATGTACAGCAAGCTGTGAATTTCAGATCTGTTTTCCAAGGCCTCTCCCAATCTACCATTTGTATGTTATGTCCTAAGTCCCTTTCCCGAGAACTAAGAGTTCTTTTTGAAATTGTGATGTCTCATAACTAAAACCTTTCTTTTTGTCTATCTTAAAGATATCGTTTAGTTGATGGTACTGTAACCAGTCAGTTACAGCTTCCCTTATCTTTTCAAAATCGTTTAATTTCAGTTGGTTTTCAACTTCAGTTAACACCTCTCTGTAAGTCGGCCAATTACTTCTCATATTCAATTTTTTTCAGAGATATTGCTTCCAAGGGGGAAAGCACTTCCTGTACAGCTCATATTACACTCTGAGCTAATTCCGGTGCTTCGCACTGAATTGACTGTCCCTCTGTTTCCCACGGACAGTCCCAACATCATGTGATGTTTTCAAGCTAGCAGCTTGCAGCTGCATTGCTTCTATATCATAACATACTCTCCCATATGAATCAATGTGCACTGCGAACATAGCTTGATCCAGAGAAGAAAACAGTTGTTATACATATAACAATCCCCTGTTGTTTCAGTTCCACCCTTGGAACTACCCGCCACTGGTTTCCCCAGTGTACCTCTCTGGTTGTCTGACTTCCAAGGAATGAGTGCATCTGCATTACCTTGGCTAGGGAATGTAGTGTTACGCTTAGCAACTCCCTGTTGTGTCTTTGTCTCTGACTTAGACACAGCTTCAACCTGTCTTGAGTTGTCAACAATAGTAACACATGCAACAGCTGAGTTAGCAAACTCTTTAGAATACCTCTTGGGTGGTACACGCTTTGTAACTCTCTCGGACCTGCGTATGAGGTGCTGATCCTCTCTGCTCACTGGTTCAGTCTCAGGATTCTTTGGAGAACCAGTTCCAATAGTAAACAGTGGTTCATCCTTCACCTGTGAAGGTCTAGCCATTGTGTGAGATTTCCTCTCAATGACTGTGTCAACTGAGCTCTTCGAGTATCACTGTTACTCTCAGTACCACTGTAATCAGTAAAATCATCATCATCATCTGAATTGTCCTCAGTGGGAAAAGTGTGAACAATTACTCTCTCCTGTTCAGGAGCGCACTCTAGAAATTTTGTGAGAATCACCTGACCAGATTCAGACAAAAGTACTCTGTAGAGACCCTTTTCATAACCCACAAAAATGCCTCTAGCATTCTTTACTCCACCTGGAGCATCAGATTTCACATGAGACCCAAAAACCTTAAAATGGGCAACAGAAGGTTTTCTATGAAATAGCTTTTCAAAAGGAGAACTTCCCAAACCTTTTGAAACCTTTCTCAACCAAGTGTAACAAAAACACAATAAAGATTCAGCCCAATACTCATGTGGCAAATGTGAACTCAGCAATTGCGCCTTCATCCCATTTTGCAATTCTTTGTTCACTTGCACACAGCCACTTTTGTCCCATGTTCCTGCAGAAACAGCAATCTTGTGCCTTATGCCTTGCTTATCCAGGAAATCCTGAAAATCTTGTAAAAGAAAAGCTGGCTTTTCATCTGTGAAAAGACAATCAATGTTAGCATCATAAACATTTTTAACTTTGTCACAAAACTCTTTAAACCTTTCTAAGGCTTCTTGTGGTTTCTGCAATATGTATAACCACACATAATGAGAGAAATAATCCACACACACAAGATAATATATTGCATTGCCTCTAGATGGTGCTAGAGGACCAATCACATCAGCATATACTCGCTGAAAAGCTTTAGTTACTTTCGTCGCCTTCTGGACGTCCTTCGTCATACCTGCAAAAGAAATCATGTTGGACTCAGATGCATTACAATTTATGCAATCACTTTGATCAAAATCAACAAATACAGTTCATCTTTCTCTCTTTTTTTTCTTTTTTTTCTGTTTTAAATAATTTTTATTAATTTTCCAGACATATAATAAAAACAAACAATAAAACAAAACAAAACATACAAACAAATAAACATGTATAATTTCATAAACTCATATTCCTTCACCTTATTTCCCGGACTTCCCCATACCTCCCTTTTTCTGCATCCTTATTTTTCCCTTTTAACAGCAACCCTCCATTTAATTAATTAACTCATCTTCTTTATAATTCCCTTAAATTTATGATTTACAGCTGCAATTCTCTGTTTCTTAACACCATAACATCTCAACACTCCTCAATGTTACAACAATTTTTAAGGTATATTTTAAATTTCTTCCAATCTTCTTCCACTGTCTCACTCCCCTGGTCACGGATTCTGCCGGTCATCTCTGCCATTCCCATGTAGTCGATCACCTTCGCTTGCCATTCTTCCAGAGTGGGTAGCTGCTGCGTCTTCCAATACTTTGCCAGAAGAATTCTTGCTGCTGTGGTAGCATACATGAAAAAAGTTCTGTCCTTCCTTGGCACCAATTGGCCCACCATGCCCAGGAGAAAAGCCTCTGGTTTTTTAGAAAATGTCCATTTAAGGACCTTTTTAATTTCATTATAGATCATTTCCCAGTAGGCTTTAATCTTCGGGCAGGTCCACCAAAGGTGATAGAAAGTACCTTCAGTCTCATTACATTTCCAACATTTATTATTGGGCAAATGGTAAATTTTTGCAAGTTTGACTGGGGTCATGTACCACCTATAGATCATTTTCATTATGTTTTCTCTCAAAGCATTACAAGCCGTAAATCTAACACCAGTATTCCATAACCTTTCCCAGTCATCAAACATAATGTCATGACCTATGTCTTGTGCCCATTTGATCATAGCTGATTTTACTGTTTCATCTTGTGTATTCCATTTCAGCAGCAAATTATACATTCTTGACAAGTTCTTAGTATTGGGTTCTAACAATTCTGTTTCTAATTTCGACCTCTCCATCTGAAAACCTATTTTCCTGTCCTGTTTAAATACCTCGTTTATCTGAAGGTAGTGCAACCAATCTCGTACTTTAGACTTTAATTTGTCATAACTCTGTAATTTAACCCTTTCACCATCTTGCTCTAAAATTTCACAATATTTTGGCCATTTGGACTCCATATTAAGTTTTTTTGTCTCTTTAGCTTCCATTGGTGATAGCCACCTGGGAGTTTTACTTTCCAATAGATCTTTGTATCTTATCCAAACATTGTATAGTGCTTTCCTGACAATATGGTTTTTAAAACCTTTATGTATTTTTACCTTGTCATACCATATATATGCGTGCCAACCAAATCTGTTGTCATACCCTTCCAGATCCAAAATGTCTGTGTTCTCAAGAAGCAGCCATTGTTTCAGCCAGCAGAACGCTGCCGATTCATAATAAAGTCTCAGGTCCGGCAGGGCAAACCCCCCTCTATCTTTTGCATCAGTTAAGATCTTAAAGTTAATTCTGGGCTTTTTGCCCTGCCAGACAAATTTTGATATGTCTTTTTGCCACCTCTTGAAACAGTCCATTTTGTCCAGGATCTGGAGTGTCTGGAATAAAAACAACATTCTAGGCAATACATTCATCTTGATGACAGCAATTCGGCCTAACAAGGAAAGTCTCAACCTTGACCATATTTCTAGATCTTTCTTCACCTCTGTCCAACATTTGTCATAATTGTCTTTAAATAAATTCACATTTTTAGAAGTCAAGTTCACACCCAGGTACTTCACCTTTTTTGTTATTACTAAGCCTGTTTCACTCTGAAACTTCTCTTTTTCTGAGAGAAATAATCCACACACACAAGATAATATATTGCATTGCCTCTAGATGGTGCTAGAGGACCAATCACATCAGCATATACTCGCTGAAAAGCTTTAGTTACTTTCGTCGCCTTCTGGACGTCCTTCGTCATACCTGCAAAAGAAATCATGTTGGACTCAGATGCATTACAATTTATGCAATCACTTTGATCAAAATCAACAAATACAGTTCATCTTTCTCTCTGGCAGACAGATACAGCTCTCCATCTTTGAAGATTTTGCAGCTTTCTCTATCATAGGACAAAATCAGTCCTTTCTTTGTGATCTGCGAAACACTCAGCAGATTGAACTTTGAATCAGGAACCAAATAGACATTGTTTATAGTCAAGTTCAGACTCTCAAGATACACAGTTCCAAACCCGGTTGCTTCCAGCTCCTGGCCATTGGCCTGTTTCACAGTGAAGCTTTGCTTCTTAAACATTGAAAACAGTTCTAGGCGCAACGTCATGTGTTGCGTGCAACCAGTGTCAAGAACAAAAGCGTTCTCCGTTGAAAATTTGGCTTTTGTTGACAGCAATGCTTTTGCAGGTTTCACCTGGGACTTGGTACGACTTTTGCCTGACGCCTCAGGCTTTGCAGAGCTCCCCTTAACTCCTTTCTGTTGACGTGGCTTCTTATAATTCCGCTGAAGATGCCCAGTCTGTCCACAATTGTAACAACGGACAATGTTCAAAGCAACAGCCTGTTCTTCACTAGCAGTAGCAGTGGGGGTGTCAGAACTCCGAGCTTCTGTCCCCCTGTCTTTGACATCTATTGCAGCAAGTCTGTCTCTCATTCAAAACCAGGGCACAAATTCTTTCCACCGTAAGATCTGCGGCAGGTAGAGAACCCAGCTGACTTGCAACAGTTTTATAAGTCCGATTAAGGCTGTTAATAATCATGAAGCAGAATATCTCTTCCTCTAGAGGGAAATTGCGTTGCGCCATCTGCTGGCGTAAGAATTTCATCTCTGTCAGATGCGCTTGGACATCTCCATCAGGGGCTAGCCTTAGATTGGTCAGCTTTTCAAAATGCAGCAACGCTGAAGAACCAGCATCTCTTTTATGTATTCTATGCAGCGTTTGCAAAATCTCATACGCATATTCCAAATCCTGAATATGCACAAGTTGATAATCAGAGACACATAGAATTATGGCCGTCCTGGCTCTCACATTCTGTGAATTCCAACTTGGCGTTGGTGCAGCAGGGATGGGATTATCAATCACCCCAAAAATCCTCTGATTCTGAAGCAGGGCTTTCATTGTTACAGACCATAAGGAATAATTGCCATTAGTCAGTGGAGGTGGGTAAGGTAAGCCTCCCCCCTTCTTGGTATCCATTTTGAATCCAAGCCTCAGCTCTCACTCTCGAGCCTGTAAAATCCAAAAGTCTATTGGGTTGTTTACTGCCTTGCACCTGGCAGCTAAGCGCAGGCTGCTTCAGAAAATCCCTCCAAGAGCAGTGAGATAATAGACAAAACACCAGTGTTTTTCCAGCCTCTCACAGTCCCAGCCTCACTTGGCTTGTAATTTCCCACTTCCCTTTCAAGCTAACTAGCTTAGAGGAAGCTGAAAGCATACACGTCTCATTGCTTAGCAACTTGGCCTTGGCTGACCGGCATTAGAAAGCTTATCAAGCCTCAGGGATGCGAAAAATGCGGGCTGTTTCTCAGGGCTGTTTTCATCCAAAAGCAGACACTCAGTGAACCGAAGAATGCTTCAATTCACGTTCACTCTCACAGCCATAAGATCACCATACCTTGAGGGAATTCGTTGCTCGTATTATCAGCAAAAACGCCTCCTCCGGTGCTCAGCTGCCCTTTGTAGCTTCCCATCTGCTCGCTACCACATTCTTTCTTTATCTCCTTGCAGAGGATGAATTATGATCTATCAACCTCCTTAGCTGCTTTCATGGATCGATGCCATCAGGTCCGTGCTACCAGATGTCGGGATTGAAGCCTATATGAGTAGTAACTGGCAACTCTCCAGGCACCCGGCTTGATCTCCTGTTGACCTCCCTGTCTGCATTCCTCAGCGAGATCCAGGCAGAGGTCGCGATAGGCGATCCTTCTCAACGTGAGAAGAACACACCCCCTCTTTCTTGCCCCCCCCAGCAGGGGAAAGAGATAGACAGAAACGTATTTACATGCCTTTATTTCTGTCTTTGCAGCATTACAAAAAACATGACTGCTCTCTTCAAGCTCCAGCAGTCGAGTGACAAACACTTCCTGTACTTCCTGTGCAGCTCATATTACACTCTGAGCTAATTCCGGTGCTTCGCACTGAATTGACTGTCCCTCTGTTTCCCACGGACAGTCCCAACATCATGTGATGTTTTCAAGCTAGCAGCTCGCAGCTGCATTGCTTCTATATCGTAACAATATTTTCCTTCATCTGACATCCTGGTAGAAAGCAGGCCTGATTGTGATGAATTTTTTCTGCTAAAACACCTTTCATTCTATTGCCCAAAATATGAGCAATACTCTAAATGGAGTATTTTTTCTCGCCTTTTAGTTCAAGAATTATTGATTTGTGGTCCGAAAGTGTTCTTAGTTGTATTTCTGCATTTTTAATCTATGGAATTCCATCCTACAGGAATGATGGCCAACAATTTGGATAGCTTGAAAAAAGAGGATTAGACTGATGTCTGTGCTCTGCCCTCGTGGTCCTAGGCAATTATGCTTCTTAAAATAGGAGTGTTAAAATAGTGTTAAAATAGGAGAAGGTGCATATTGCGATTGACGTGTGTTAGGTTCCTTTCTTGTAAGTCTTAACAGGATTCTCTTCCCCTTCCTCCCCACTCCCAAACAGGTGAGGAAGATGATGGCCAGAATTCTATGGAGCCATCTGTGAATTCATTGGGAAGAACAAAGAAACAGTTTAAATGCATGGAATGTGGGATGTGCTTTAGTCACAGTGGAAGACTGAGGACACATCAACGAATTCACATAGAGGAGAAACAATTTAAATGTACTGACTATCGAAAGAGCTTCAGGGAAAATGGAACTCTTAGAAAACATCAACGAACTCACACAGGGGATAAACCATTTAAATGTATTGAATGTGGAAAGTGCTTCAGTCACAATGGAACACTTAGAATACATCAACGAACTCACACAGGGGAGAAACCATTTGAATGTATTGAATGTGGAAAGTGCTTCAGTCGAAATGGAAACCTTAGAATACACCAACGAACTCACACGGGGGAGAAACCATTTGAATGTACTGAATGTGGAAAGTGCTTCAGTCGATATGGAACACTTACAATACACCAACGAACTCACACGGGGGAGAAACCATTTAAATGTATAGAATGTGGAAAGAACTTCAGTCGATATGGAACACTTAGAATACACCAACGAACTCACACAGGGGAGAAACCATTTGAATGTATTGAGTGTGGAAAGAGCTTCAATAATAGTGGAAACCTTAGACAACATCAACAAACGCACACGGGGGAGAAACCATTTAAATGTATTGAATGTGGAAAGTGCTTCAGTCAAAATGGACACCTTAGAATACACCAACGAACTCACACGGGGGAGAAACCATTTGAATGTATTGAATGTGGAAAGAGCTACAATGATTGTGGAAGCCTTAGAAAACATCAACGAACTCACACGGGGGTGACTCCATTTAAATGTATTGAATGTGGAAAGTGCTTCAGTCAAAATGGAACACTTAGAATACACCAACGAACTCACACGGGGGAGAAACCATTTAAATGTATTGAATGTGGAAAGCGCTTCAGTGTAACTGGAAACCTTAGAAATCATCAACAAACTCACACGGCTGAGAAACCATTTGAATGTATTGAATGTGGAAAGAGCTTCAGTGGAATTGGAGACCTTAGGAAACCTCAACGAACTTACACGGGAGAAACCATTTAAATGTACTGAATATGGAAAGAGCTTCCATCCATATAGACACCTTCTAAGACACCAACTATCACTCGGGGAAGAAACCATTTTAATGTATGGCATGTGGATGGAGATTCAGCTACAGTAGAGCACTTAGAATACACCAACTAACTCATAGAGGGGAGAAACCATTGGAACGTATTGAATGTGGGAAGGGCTTCAACAGGAAGGTTAAACTTACATTACATTGGCGAACTCCCACAGGGGAGAAGCTTAAGTCAATATGGAACCTTAGCAAACATCCGCTGACTCACATGGGGAAAACCAGATTTATGAAACGTGGAAAGAGCTTAAGAGGGAGTGAAGACCTTAATATCCATAAGAAAATTCACACAGGCAGGAAACCATATAAATGTATGGAGTTTTCCACTCAGGTTTTACCAAATATCCTGGGAGGTGAAGATTACTGTCAAGTCTCTGGATGTACAGAAAAGAATTTGGCAGTGTTTGTTTATTGTTATGGCCAATGGTGTCAAAAGCCTCTGAAAGATCCAGCAGAACTAGGAAACAGCTCTCACCTTTGTCCCTAGCCCGCCGGAAATCATCGTGTCCAGGTCAGTTTCAGTCGCATGATGAGGCCTGAATCCCAACTGGAATGGATCCAAATGGTCCACATATTCCAGGCGTCCCTGGAGTTGTTCAGCAACCACCCAGTCAATCACCTTGCCAAAGAATGGAAGATTTGAGACTGGGTGATAGGTGGCCGTATTGGCTGGATCTAAAGATATTTTTTTTAAGAAGCACTTTAATACAGTGGTGCCTCAGGTTACATACGCTTCAGGTTACAGACTTCGCTAACCCAGAAATATTACCTTGGGTTAAGAACTTTGCTTCACGATGAGAACAGAAATCATACAGCGGCAGCAGGAAGCCCGATTAGCTAAAGTGGTGCTTCAGGTGAAGAATAGTTTCACGTTAAGAACAGACCTGCAGAACGAATTAAGTTCTTAACCAGAGGTACCACTGTAACTGCCTCTTTCAGTGTGTCTGGGAAGGCTCCTTCACAGAGAGAAGCATTCACCACCCCATGGAGCCCATCCCCCATCCCTTCCCGGCTAGATTTTATGAGCCAGGATGGGCAAGGATCAAGGAGACAGGTGGTTGGTTTCACTCATCCTCGGACATAACAGATTGGAATTGATCCCACGCAACTTTACTAGACAGGACTCTAGCACTCACCTGCCCCCGCCCTGCCCCCACGGAGGAGTCTACCTCTCTGAATCTGAGCGACTTTATCTGCAAAAAACTTTGCAAAATCATTGCAGGAGATCATGTGGCCTGTACCGGGCGCCATTGGAGAGATGGTTCCATTAAATTGCAAACCACCTGAAAGTGTCTCCTGCTGCTGTTTTCTGCAGATGCAATAGAGGGGGTGAAGAAGGTTTTCTTCACCTTCGCTATCGCCATTTGGTAGGCTCAACGTTGAGCTCTAACCCGTGTCCGGTCAGATTCAGAATGAGGTTTCTGCCACTGGCGCTCTAGCCGTCTTGTTGCCCTCAGATCCTTGGAAAACCATGGGGCTGTCTGGTCTCCATGCAATCGGAGTGGGCTTTTTGGAGCCAGATACTCAATAGCCCTGGTTAACTCCACATTCCAGCAGGCCACCAGGGAATCAGCTGAAAGGCCATCAACATGGGATAAAACATCCCCTGCCACTCTCTGGAAACCATTTGGATCCATTAAGTGGCGGTGGCGGACCATCCAAATTGAACCCACCTCCTTGCAGAGGGGAAGGGTTGTGGAGAAGTCCAGTTGCACCAGGAAGTGATCTGAACATGGCACTTATTTAGTTTTGCTTTTTTATTTATTTAGTTTCGCTTTTACTTAGTGTCAGATCACAAACATCCATAGAGGAGAAAAACCAGGTCTAAGGCATTTCTGCGACTATAAGTTGGGACAAACGTATTTAGGGACAGCCCATGGAGGCCATGCTTTCCACAAAGTCCCAATAGGCCCCTTGTAAGGTTGTGTCGGCGTGAATGTTAAAATCCCCCAGGACAACCAAATTAGGTGTCTCCAGGAGAACATCTGCCACGACCTGAAGCAGCTTGGGCAGGGAATCCTTGGTGCAGCGGGGTGGTCGGTACACCAAAAGGAATCCTGTACTGCCCCTATTGTCCAACTTTAAGAACATGCACTCAGAGAACTGGGTCTTCCCAATAGGACACCTGGTGCAAATTAATGACTTCCTACAAATCACTGCAAATCACACCCCTCCCCTGCCCACATGACTTGGGTTGCTGTGCGTAAGAGAAACCTGGTGGACAAGCAGCGGCAAGGACAGGTCCACCTGCTTCATCCCACCAGGTCTCTGTTACACATGCCAGGTCAAGTTCTCCATCCACGATCAAGTCATGGATGGCAGTGGTCTTATGAATCATTGACCTGGCATTGCATAGCAGTACCTTCGGTATAGGAGTCAGATGGGATTACCATGAGGAATTATAAAATATACATCAAGCCATCGTGTCCACAATGAAGACATTGTGTTGACTGGGTTTGATATATTGACGATAATTTCTGATTAAATCCCATAAGATTCTACATTCATGTCCTTTCCATGCCCTTTTGCCTTTGCTGCCCATTTCTCTTGTCACGTACACAGCCCAGTTGCTTAGACAGGCAGGCGTCCTGGGTCATCAAAGATAGTGGGCAAGTTTATTTGATGTAGGATGTTAATCTTAGGGCCAGCAAACAGATCTCACATTAAGGGGATAATGGTCACTGTCCTCCTGGCCATCCTTCTTATCATATGTACTGCTTGTTTATTACCTCGGGGTTGCCAGATGCTCTTCTTTGTAGTTCTCAACTATTTACTACCCCTTTGTAGTTCTCAACTTAGTTACCCCAAAATATATGCATGCTAATTAGTGTTGTAGTGTAACTTTTTCCCCACGTGGGTTTGATGAAATGCTCAGAGGAAATATGATTGGTTCTTACGAGCACTGTGTAAAAGATTCTTTGCTAATAAAATGGCCTGGTGAGGGGTGTGGTTTACGCACTTTCTCCTAGAGCCTTGCTGGTCAAAACCTCGTGTCTTGCTTTTAATCAGGGTCCAATCCTTCCTTTACTTTACGAACGCAGCACTTCGGGTCATGTGGGTCTCCCTTGCTGATTCCAGTATCCATCCAAATGACACCAGACCCGGAGGCAGGGATAGTCCTCAAACTAAAATGGGGGGGGCCATGCTATTTGGTGACCCTCTTTTTTTCTTTTTTTCTTAATTTATACTTCTACATCACACAAACAAGCATTGAATAAAACGAACAAACAATAGAAAACAGAAGAAAATGCAAAAACAAAATTACAAGGATCTAAACATAATATGCAATCAAAAATACAAAACAATATATTCTCTTCAAAAAAGGAAAAAGAACAAAAACACCAAAAAAGTAGGGGGGAATGACTTCTAACTAACTCCATGTGGCTCTTTATTCTTCATATCACTGGTTGTCTGTAATGATTAATTTTTTGGAGAATTATTCTAATTACCTGTGAGATTTTTATTCTAAACTAAGCCAAGTATGAATCTGGAAATCGGTTCTCTTCGTATAATTTATAAAGACTTCCCACTCTCTCCTTATTTTCTCATTAGAATAACTTCTTATTAAACCTGTAAGTCTGGCCAATTCAAGATATCCTGACAATTTAAGAACTCTTTCTTCTTTTGTTGGTGTTATGTTATTTTTCCAATTTTTAGCCATTACTATCCTGGCCGCCATTACTGCATACAAAAATATTCTTTTGGTTTCTTTTGGGGTGTCTGTTGTTAATAGGCCCAAAAAAACATTTCTGGTTTTTTTGGGAAAGTATGTCTTAACATTTTATTTAATTCTTCATTAATGGTATCTCAAAATTATTTAATTTTAGGGCAGGTCCACCACATATGGAAGAAATTCTCTTCTTTAAGTTTGCACCTCCAACACTTTCCACTGGTGTTTTGGTACATTTCGAGGGTTTAACATGCTGTAAATCTTATGTCTCTTTTCCATAAGTTTCCCCAGTTTTCGAAATCAATTGAATGGCCGATATCTTGTGCCCATTTGACCATGACATCTTTAAACTCGTTGTCTCTTAAGTGCCAATTTAATAATAGTTTATACATTTTGGATAAATTTTTATCATCATTTATAATCATTTTTTTGTCTATTTCGGATAATTTTGTATCAAATCCATTTACATTCTTGTCTTCCTCAAAAATTGCATTTAATTGATGGTATTGAAACCAGCCTATTCCTGTATGTCTTATTGTTTCATATTTTTTTCATTTGTAATCTACTATTTACTTCCTCTAAAAGATCTTTATACGTCAACCAATTTGAATCCATATTTTTTCTTTTTACTGCCTCTGCCTCCATTGGTGACAACCACCATAGGGTTTTTGGTTCTAATAATTTTTTGTTCCTTTCCCAAATTTAATAATGTGATTTAGGAATCCCTTGTGGATTTTTGCTTTATTGTAACCCGGGTAGCCGTGCCACCCCACTATATTATTCCAGCCCTCAATATCCAATAATTTAGTATTCTTCAAGATCATCCATTCATTGAGCTAATTTTTATTAACAGGCCAATCACATCACATTATCCAAATCACATTAGTTTCAAATTATACAGCCAAATTTTAAATTTTGTTGGGGGTACCCATACATCAAGCTCCGCACGAGTCCAAAACTCTGAACGAGTCCAAACATCACTTATATTACTGCTTTAATTAGACAGTTCTATCCAGTTCAACCCAGATAGTCCTTTAATTGCTTTCTTTCTCTTCTTGTTATCGTATATTCCTTTCTTTGCGATCTCTGATAATTTTCACAAGCAGATTGAAAACAGGCATCCTTTGTGTGGGTTTTGTACTGTCCAAAGATCATATCACTCAGGGACAGCCTCTGTTCAGCGCTTCCATAAAAAAATTAATCTTCGGTCTGTCCTTTACTTTTCTCAGGCTTGCCAAATAAATCAAATGAGTCAGG